TGCCAACATTCTGGCTGTGATATGGTACTATAGTTTTGCAAGACGTTACATTCAAGGGTATACAGGGGCACTCTCAATTATTTCCTATACCTTCATGCAAATCTACATACATCACAAAGTACAAGCTTTAACAAATGTATCATTTGTTGAAAATGATTCAGTAAATACAGCTTATCTTTTGAAAAAGTGGGGAAAACTCTTCAACTTGTAATTATGGTACTGTTCTTCTTTTGCTACCAGAGTATTAACGAAATTATTCTGGTTCTTTAAAAAAAACTCCAAATACTTCACAGTACTTATTTTGTTTAAATTTTTATTAGATATTAAGTTGAAAGAGCTAAAATGTGCCTTCTTGTAAATGATAGTACACTCTTTATATATTGTTCTACAATTTGCTTTTTTCAGGTAATTATTTTAGAGACATTTCAATTTCATTAAGAGGTACCTCATTTTTTGCCTTTTTATTAGCATATATTAATTGTACAAAGGGGTTTCATTGTGATATTTTCATCTGTGCATATAATATACTTTGATCAAATTCTCCCCCTTTATGACTTTATCCCACCCTTTCAAAATAATTTTAATAGGCTTCATTATTCTATTTTCATACATGCATATAAAGTATTTCAGTCATATTCAGTTCCCCACCAACCCCTACTTTCACACTCCCCTCACCCACTGGTTCCCCCACCTCCCGCCAAACAGTCTCCATTTTACAATTATGTCATTGGTTTTATTAGGCCTATATTCCACATATGAGAGAAAACATGGGGTTTTGTCTTTATGGGGCTTATTTTGCTTAACATAATGATCTCCAATTCCATCCATTTTTCTGCAAATGACAGAATTTTGTTCTCTATGGCTGAATAATTCTCTCTCTCTCTCTCTCTCTCTCTCTATATATATATATATATATATATAATATTTGTACATTTTGCTGTTGATCAGTAATTGGGTTGATTCCAGTTTAAAGCTATTATAAATAATTCTATGTGTATGTATATATACATATATATATGTTACATATATACCTAAAAGCACATACTTTGCTGGGTCACAGGATATGCATATATTCAGCTTTATTATATAAAGCCTAACTGTGGATGGTAGCACAAATTTACACTATAATCAGTAACAACTGGGGGTTCCAGAAATTCTACATCCTCACTGTAACTTGTCATTGGCCATCTTTTAAAATTTTAACTATTCTGAAAGTTATATAACTATATCTTATTGTTGTCTTTATTTGGATTTTTCTTATCAATAATGATGTTGAAGCTGGCTGCTGGTGGCTCACACCTGTTATCCTAGCTATTTGGGAGGCTGAGATCGTGAGGATCATGGTTAGAGGCCAGTCCAGGTAAATAGTTAACAAGACCCCATCTCCAAAACTAACCAAAGCAAAATGGACTGGAGGTGTGGCTCAAGTGGTAGAGTAGCCATTCTGCAAGCACTAAGCCCTGAGTTCAAGTCCCCATTCCACCCCCAAAGAAATTAATAGTGAGGTTGAGCTGCTCTTACATGTTTATTAGCCATTTGGATATGTGCCACTCATTTTTCTATCACTGTAACAAAATACTTGAGATATTAAGTTTTGAGGTGGAAAGGTTTATTTTGCCTCATAGTTTGCAAGGTTCTAGTCCACAGTTGCTTGCCCCATTGCTTTTGGGCCTGTGGCAAAGCAGTACACATGGCAGGAGCACTTGGTAAAGGAAGGTACTCACCTCATGGCAGCCAGTAAGCAAAGAGAAAAATAGAAAGGGCAGAAACCCATTATCCCCTGCAGGAGCAGACCCCAATAACCTAACTTCATCCCACTAGGTCCTACTTCTTAAAGGTTCTATCATCTTAGAACAGCAACCAAGACTGAGGACCAAGCCTTTAACATGTGAATCTTTGGAGACCTTCATTCCAGATCCAAACTATGGTATATATCCTCTTTTATAAAAAGGTTGGTCAAGTCTTTGGCTAATTTTTTGTTAGGTTGTCCAAGGATTCTTTATATATTTTAGGTAATAATCCTTTGCTTAGGATTTGTGTGTGTGTGTGTGTGTGTGTGTGTGTGTATGTGTGTACGTACAATCTTCTACCATTGACTACCTTGCCTTTTTATATTCTTAATGGTGTCTTTTTATTGAGAGAAGTTTTCAGTTTTAACAAAGTACACTTTATCAATCTTTTATCATCAGTGATTTTTCTGTCCAGTGTAAGAAGTCTTTGTCTATATCAAGATCACGAGCATATTATGCTATAATTTTTTTCTGGTTTTTTTTTTGTTATTTTTTTCTTTTTCTTGTTTTTTAAATTTTTTTCTAGAAGTCTGGACCATTAAGAGCATGTTTTCTATTTCAAGGTAGATGCACTCACATGAGTTTTATGTATCCATATAATTTTTCTGTAAGTTTTTAAAAATTTGAGAAAAAGGGACATGGGGAGAAAGAGAACTTGTTCCTAGTCTGCCATCTTGACTCAATCTCCTCTCTAAATTTTCAGTCACATATTGAACTTTTCAAAATCTCAAACACAGATAGCTGCCGGGATCATATGATTTAATATGGAAATCTCTGCTTCTAAGGTGATGTCATATTAATCTATCTCAATTTCAGTCTTGGTCCCCATTTAAAACTGGCATCTGCATGACACATGGGAACAAATTTCATACTCTTTCCTCAAAATTGTCTTTCAGACTTTAATATTAGATCTTAAAAGAATTGAGATTCTGTTTACAGAGATTCCTACAAACACATAACAATAATACAAATAACATTTTGTTCCACTATAACAAAAAAGAAGAAAAAGAAAATATTTAACTTTTCTAAAAAACAAAACAAAAAAACCTTTAAAGTGCTAAAATTTGAAACTTTCTTTTTCCAATGCTGGTAAGGAAACCCAGGGCTTTGCACATGCTAGGCAAGCACTCTGCTACTAAGTTCTATCCCCAGTCCTTTAAAGTACTAAGATTTGAGAAAAAGAGCAGGGCACCAATGGCTCACACCTGTAATCCTAGCTACTTGGGAGGCTGAGATGAGGCAGGTCAAGGTTTGAAGCCAGCCCCAGGCAAAAAGTTAACAAGACCCCCCAACTCCAAAATAATCTGTGCAAAATAGTCTGGTGGTATGGCTCAAACGGTAAGAATACCTGCTTTACAAGTGTGAAGCCCTGAGTTCAAACCCTAGTCCCACCAAGAAAAAAAATTGAGAATAAGAAAAAGCAACTCCTAAAATATTATTTCCTTATTGTTCAACCCTGAAATTACCTCAATCAGACTGCTCTGAGAACACTAATGAATTCAGGAATAACTTACTACTGATTGAGAGCTGCGGTTTAAATTCTAAACTTTGAAGTCTAAAATAGTCTGGTCAGATGTATAACAGAAATTTTATAGAAAGAACTGTAATTCTGAAATAAAATAAACTGTATTCATAAGAGTTAAATCTAAAGTTTTCAACAAAACAATCTTTGATATAGCTTTTAAATGTTTAATGAACATCTAACATGTCCTGTGCACTGTTCTAGGCAAGGAGATACATCAGTGAACAGACAAAACCTCCTACTTTATAGAGTTTATATTATAGCAAATACATATAATTTCAATAACCTGAATTTGTCCTTTTAAAATCTATACAAGTTGCTAATATATTGGGTAGATAAATGTTCTACAACCAAACACAAATCTGCATATCCCTCATAGCAGTTGACCATCCACCACATAAAAATATGTTTGAATATATGCATATATATAAAACACAGATACATTTAGCTACTAACTTCAAAACATTATAAAGTCTCTCTTGTTAAAGAATGTGAACAAGTTCAGGTGTGGTATAATATATCTGCCTAAGTGATTCACATGGAAGGGGAGATATTGGCTAGATTTTAAGTAGGCATATTAGATTTCAGATAACTCTTAACAGATTTTATTTATATCTCCAAACCAAATAACTGAAATAACTCAGATGAAGAACTATGAAGGCAGAAAAAACTAGCTCTAGCAGGAGCAAGATTTTGATCATCTAGAATCCCACTAGCCAATTCATTAGTTACTAGTCACCTGTAATTATTCAATTTTGAACTAATTAAAATTTAAAAATTAAAAGTTCGGCTCCTCTGTCATATTTGGCATACGTCAAGTGTGCATTTGTCAGCGCAGATAAAGAACATTTCCAGTATAGCAGAAAATTCAATTAGCACTGTTGCAGAGAATCAGAAGAGGCCTCTTCTGAATAAAGCAAAAACTTTTAAAAGAATGTCACAAAAATTGGCTTCTAATGGAAAAAAAAAGTTTTCTTCTCCATCCCTAGGCTATTTCCATTCCTGTATCTTATTTGCTCATCCCCTAGAAAATCTGTTTTTAACTCTCTCTCCCCCCAGCCCCTCACATTCTTCCCCACTCTATTTTCTTATTCTTAGTTTCCTTTCTCTCACTACTTTTTTTTAGCAACCAATATGCATATGACCAATATGATAAGATATATGTATTGACGTTTGTATTCTCAATATTAAACTTTAAGGAACTGAATACTATATTTACAGGAGAATTAAAAAAAAATAAATGAAAGGCTTATAACCTTTAGTGTGTTCTCCCCGAGATCATTATCCTTCCACAGAGTCTCTTACCAAAGAAAACCAGGGTGTAAAAGCTATGCAATTCTAGTTCCGGCCTCTGGGTTTCCTCTCCGCGGAGGAAGAGGTCTCTCCATTCGGACGCCAAGTCTGCGCGGGACTCCGTGCGGCTGGACTCCTACTGTCATCTAGCGGAGAGACGGGACTGGGCTCCTTTGGACCTAGCGGTTGCCAGGCGACGGAGGCAGTGCAGGGCGGGCCTAAGGAAGAGCGCGCAGAATGAAGGATGCTGCAAGAGCTGTAACAATCCCACTTCCTATTGGCTGTAGAGCTCTCTATTACCGCCCTGAGCCAATGAGCAATGGATAACGTCAGACGCTGTGCGACTCCTCCCACTCACGCTCTAGCAACGCGTCTGCAGACCGCGGAGGCCCTCGGTGGACCCTCGTGCGTCTTGACTGCCCCATGTACACCCCGCGGCTCGTGCTGCTGCAGGTGTTCTTTCTGATGGTACCCCAGGGCACCTGGCTTCAGCCCTCTCTCACCCCTTCATGGGAAGTGCCCACCTCTTTAGTCCTGGAGCCAGTGACGCAGGACGGGACTAGCCAGTCCCCCGTGGAGAATGCAACTCCACGGGACGTGCCTGGGATCTCTACGGTGGGCCCCACTCTTGTGACCCCCTCAGCGCCCGGGAATAAGACCATGAACCTCTTCCCAGGTGAAGGAAGGGGTGAGGGGTGGAAACTAGTGTCTTCTCATATCTGCAATTCTGTGAACAAAGATGACTTGCCACAAAGCGAGGAGTGGGGCTGTTGGAAGAGGGGGATTTAGCACTTGGAAGAGTTTGGCAATCCTCATCTCTCTCTGCTTTTTGTTGTACTTTCCTAGTCTTACCGATCTGTATCTGTGACTTGACTCCTGGTGCCTGCGATATAAATTGCTGCTGTGACAGGGACTGCTATCTTCTCCATCCGAGGACAGTTTTCTCTTTCTGCTTTCCTGGCAGCGTAAGGTGAGCTGCGGTGCCCAGGTTGAATCCTAAAGGAGATCGGGGCCTGGAATGGATAATATTTGGAAATAAAAAGTGTAAACTTCCGTGCCTCCCGCCCCTACTTCCACTACTATGATGTTCCCGTTTTTTCCCAGGAGTCATCTTCCTTTCTGATTCTCTAGTCTAATAGAATAAGACCTGGGTGTTGTGTGCAGCTGCCCAAGGAGGTTCTATTTGGCATCTAAGTGACATATGCCGGACGCTCTCCTTTAGAACTATTGCTCACCTCCTAAATGCATCTTCATCCACTTTCCTCACAGGTCTTCAAGCTGGGTGTGTGTAGACAATTCTCTCATCTTCAGGAGTAATTCTCCATTTCCTTCAAGAGTTTTTGTGGATTCAAATGGAATTAAGCGGTTTTGTGTCCATGTGAACAACTGTGAGTAGAAACATGTTTGGCTGTTCTTACCATCTAACATTTATTGAGAAGCAAGTTGGTCTTTGGACTTCCCCTCGTTTCTTTCTTTTTTCAACTTTTATTTTTATTCTTTGGCGCTATCACTCTCCCTCTTATTCTACCCCTTCCCCTGCCTCTCTCTCTGTTATTAGGACATTTGTGATTTCTTAGGTCTGTTGGTTTGGATCATATAACTCATACAGAACTTCATATTTTTAATCATTCTTCTTAGCTCAGATAACCACAGGTAGATTATATCTCCCACATGGTACAATCTCCATTAGAGAGTCTAGTGCCTGATACATTGTAGACACCAAAAAATACTTGGATGAATATTTTTGACAAATGAGTCTGTGCCAACCTTGTTTTTAAACAGTGTGGGTGAAGGAGCATTCGACAAGGATCTCAGTACTGCCATTTTCTTACCAGTTGAAGACTTGGACAAATTCCTTATTAATTTCAGGCATAGTTCTTCAACTATTAAAGTGAGAAATTTTTATCACTGCCTCTGGATAGGATGAAAGTGTTCTATGGCTGAAGAGTGCAATAAAGATATAAAGTGATTATTACTGTTTTTTATTTTTTAATGGACTTAGAAATTTGTTAGTGATTATATATTATCAAAGCTAATATATGTTTTAAATGTCTTTGAAACAAAATAATATTCCCACACAACATAGATTTAAGTGTTCCTTCAATACCAAAAGTCAGTTCAATCTGATTTTATCTGACTTATACAAAAGAAATCAGAAACTGTATTTGTGTCAGAAATCAACCAGTTTTTGGTTTGGGGAACAGTTTTCAGAGTCCTATGACCATTCAGGTTCTAAGAGATTAAAGGGATCAAGGTGAATATTTATATTTATTTTAATTTATTTTTTGCAGTGCTAAGGAATGAACCCAGGGCCTTGCACATGCTAGACAAGCATTCTATCACTGACTTACATCCCAGGCCCATGGATAGTTCACTTTAAAATAAGGCTGTGGCTTTTCAAACCTTCTGCTGCCTTTTAAATCCAGCCTTACGATCATGTCCTCAGGCTATTCCCAACCTACTTTTAATCTCCCCTCCTGCCTTTCATACCATCCTGAACACAGTAGGACTAGTGGTTCTGAACTTTTCTTTGCCCAACAACACCTGAGAAATATGGCCATTTCCAACTGTAATTGTGGATCGTTTCTCTTAATTAGGCTTGGGGAATGGCTTCAAAAGAAAATGGCTTCTGATCATTTCCCTGCCTCCCTCACACATACACAAATGGAGAACACACACAACACACCAAGCCATTGGAGAATCACTTTGTTAGATGAGTCATACCATAACATCATATTATATTTGTTTCATTTTTTCAGAAGCAAATATAATGCCCAGCTTCTTTAGCTTGCCTGTTGTAGTGCTGTCATATTTGAATCAACCCCTCTTTCCAGGCTTTTCTACTGTCTGCATTGATCCTCAGTTTTGGCAAACTCTTTATCATCAAGATAGGCAATGCATTTTTCTCAAGTTTATGTTTGCTTTTCTCCTTGACTCAAGTTTTCTCTTTCTGTTTGCATTTTAAAATCCCTAACTCTTCCAAGAATATTCTCTTTTTCTCTTTCCTGTTGGAAGTGAGCTCATCCTTAGAAGTTCTAAGATACTTGTTGTTTAAGTCATTCCCTTGGAACTTAAAGGGTTCCTTGCGTTGTTACCAGTTTATGTGAGTATCACGTCTCCATATACTTGAGAGATGGAAGCATTGTTACTAGAACTGGTCAGTTCAAGTTTAGAGGAACCAGCAAGATTGAGGAGAACAGATCAAATATTATCTCTAACTTTGCCATGTTCCTTTGGAAAGAATAACATTTTCTTTTCTTCGAAGACTCATCTTGCATAGGCCAAATAGGATTGTTATTGAGCTTCCTTTTTTATACATTGCTAGTCATACACATTCTTGGCCATCAGAGACTTGAAACTGACAGACATCCTTTGACCATATTCTCAACTAGATCTTAATACTTAAAGTAGTATTTCAATTAACAGGTTATAAATAAAGTTGGAGATGATAGAAATCTGAATTTTATCTCTGGAGGTGGAGTACTGATTTGGAATCTTCTAGGAAAATGTTCTATAACTTGATTTAGGCAGTAATAATACCAATATATGAATTTGTAAAAGTTCTTTGATTTTATACTTTTGTACATTTGTGCATGTTACTGTATGTATATTATGCCTCAAAAAATATTTTTAAAAATTAGTTGGAGGGTTGGCAGCATAGCTCAAGCAATGGAGCATCTGCCTAGCAAGCACCAGGTACTGCAAAAAAGTAAAAAATAAATATAAAAATTAGTTATTTGGCATACCAAATATTTAAAAATAAATGCTTTTCTTTTATCTAAACCTGTATTCCTTTCAAAAACATTTTAGCAAAATTGAACTATTTCCAGAAGCTCCAAAAGGTCAATACAACCAACTTCCAGGCCCTGGCTGCAGAGTTTGGAGGTGAATTGTTTAATTCAGCATTGCAAACTGAGCCACCACTACCATTTTATAGGGTGAGCCTGGGGAAGGGGATGGAATTGTTTGGTTTTGGTTTTCCTCTCACAGTAAACAGATGGCAGTGTACTTTCTGGTACCTCCCTGAAATGAGACAAACCATTCCTGGATTTTTGAAGGACAGTGCTGTCCATGTAAACAAGCCTTTGAGTTGACTTTTGTTTCTACTTTTTTCTGGTACAATTCATTCCAATTTCACTATGAATAAATGTGTCCTGTATTTTATTCAGGCTGGGGATCCCATTCTGACTTACTTCCCCAAGTGGTCTGTAATAAGCTTACTGAGGCAGCCTGCAGGAGTGGGAGCTGGGGGACTCTGTGCTGAGAGCAATCCTGCAGGTGAGTCCAAGGTAGAAGTACCAGCCTTTTTTGCTCAGTTTAAAATAGGCTTTTTCATTTACCATTGTCGTTATTTCTTCTGTTCTAAGGTTTCCTAGAGAGTAAAAGTACAACCTGCACTCGTTTCTTCAGAGACCTGGCCAGTAGCTGTACCTCAGATCCAGCCATGGATGCTACATCCTACTATAACTTCACAGTCTTGAAGGTGTGTGGATCCCTCTCTCTCCATTCTCACACCACTATGAATTTGAAGTCAACATGCTACCTACTGTTGTGGGTTATGGAAAAAACACTAAATTGGAGGTCATAATTCCCAAGAGCTAGAAAGGCAGAGGGTCTGGAAACCATATCATCTGAAGAGGAAAAATAATTATGTATATACATATATATATGTATATATGAACGTTTTATATACATATATATATACATATATATGTGTATGTATATATAATTATATACATATATAAATATATATATATACATAATGTGATTATATAATGATCATACATATATATAAAATGTACATATATATCTGCAGGATGAGATATTATCACCAACCTGACTAATGGGATTGGCTTGAAAGCATGGGAGGTGGTGATATCTCAGTATTTCACCAAACTTCTTGTTCTTGCTGCTCAGTAGAGCTCTGTCAGGTTATATAAGCATTGCAGTCTATCCAACCTCCCATCTAGTTCAACACTGAAATTTTAGTAAAAGGAAAGAGTCAAGTGGAAGAGAGGAAGTCATTCTAATATTTTGATCTTCTCCCCAACCCTGCCAAAACTATTGGTAGTAATATTAAACCATAAACTCCAGGTGATTTTATGAAAGGAATATGCACACTTGTGTCTCTGCTGTTCATTTTTGTCATTTTTTTTAGGTTCCTAGAGGTATAACTGATCTTCAGAATATTCAGGTATTTATTGAGAAAAAGGAAAAGAATGTTTGGGCCCTTTGCAACTGAGGCGCTTTCAGTCTAGATTGTAATGGTGGAAGGAAATGTAAGTGTGATGATAGTGGTCACTACAACTAATAAGTAGTAATTAATTAGTAAATAATTAGTAAGTTTGGAAAACATTGAATTAAATAAAATTTAATTCATTTAATTAAATAAAATAAAATTTAATTCACATTTAGTGTGGGCTTCTTGACGTCTTAATATGCTAGAAGACCTTGTTAATCCCTAAGAGGGGAATGTCCAATACAATATCCCTTATACTTATTTAGCTGTGGAACCCTTACTTTATATCTAATAGAATTAATGTTCTGAGAAATATGTTTTGAGATATTCTGATTTAGAATGAATTGTGAATTTAAGTTGTAGCCTGGAAATGGAAGGAGAAAGAAAAGGAATAGTCAAGGGGAAGAAAACACTCATTTTAGTAATAGTACACAGCTAGAAGAAAAAAATGTGACTTTGAATTTTAGTTGATCTGCTTGTTTCTCTTCCTAGTTCCAGGTTCCTGTAACACTTGCTTCACAGGCCAGTCCTCCTTTTTTGGCTGAAAACACCTGTCAGAATATCGTTTCCCAGGTAGGGATGCTGAACCCAGATTCTGGACTGATATATGTTGATCAATATTGCCAGAAGCACTTCATCTTTCATTAAGGGCTGAACTGACTTCATCTGAGCTTTTGTGCATTACCAGAAAATTAACATGTCAAGAATTGAGACTTCCTCCCTACCCTGTTTTAGTAATGTCCATTGCCACCATCCTCCAGTATTATAGGTTCAGAACATTAAAATTACTCTGACTCCTTCCTTTGTCCATACTCAGTTTATTACTGGCTCTTACTGACAATTACATTTTCTTCTGTTGACATACTAATAAGTTTGAAACAGATCAATCAGTGTAATGTAAAGAAGTAAAAATTATCATTTTTAAAATGATGCTCAGAAATTAAAGGTGATCTTCAATTGCTTGTGACTTGCATCTCCAGCTACTGTCTTTATTCCTCTTCAGACAATTGAGAGCCAAGTAACCCAGGTTTCCATTCCATGCTCACCTTTGCCTCCTCATCCTAGTACTTGACCTCCTCTGCCCACTGTCAACTTGCTTTCTTAAATACATGTCTTCCAGTAAGTCTTCCAAAGAGTGCATTCAGCCTCTTTTTTTATTATCATATTATTGTTACTGTGGGTACATTGCAAATACCATTAATATAAAGCCATCTTTATATTATAGATATTCTGTCCTAAAAATAATCAGTCCAATAACTACTTTATTAATTGATTCATCTTTTGCATTTCAGGTCATCTATGAGATAGAGACCAATGGGACCTTTGGAATCCAGAGAGTCTCTGTCAGTTTTGGACAAACTAACCTGACTGTTCAGCCAGGTGTTTCCTTACAGCAAGACTTCACCATTCACTTTAGGGTTAGCAGATTGAGAGGGGAAGAATTATCAGCTTAGAAATAGCCCTCTGTTTCTGTAATTCATGCAAAATAGAATAAGAATATGAAGGCCTAGTTCAGTCTTGATTGAGACCCCAACATTTAATATTCCTTAATTTAACTACGAGTAACAGGTATTTAACACATATTTATTTATGAACATTTTCTCTGACTCTCCATCTGATCCCAAACAAAGCAGTACTCAAATTAGAACTCTTTTTGAAGATAGTTATTTTGAATCAAGAACTCAGAGATTTCCCACAAAACTCCCCGACTAACTTTTCTCATATTTTTGGATTCATCATTTTTCTTCCCACTGAATCTAAGTTTCTTGTGTTGATCACAACCTTTTCACTTTCTTATACATCTTTCCTCTTTTTGAACCCATCTGAATGCTTCTTAATCTGTAGTCAACTATGTTCTGTGTCTTTCACAGTTCATCTCTGGAACATCTATAATTCATTAAACTATATTTTAAAGTTACATTTAAATTCTTCTAGTTTCAGTCAGGCTGAACATAGCACTAAATTGATAGCAACTTTTGAGAAATAGGACTAAGGTGTCCTTGTCAAAATTAGTATATAGTGAATTTCAGAATTAAGATCACTCAGGATTTATTTTGGTGAAGAAAAAAAAGGAAACACTGGAGTATAAAAAGTGCCAGATGATATACTATGGAAGGAAGGCAGATAATTCAGTGCAGCTCATTTATTGTATTTGATGTAAGGAAAGTTAGGAAGCCAGGCAGTAGAAGGTGGGAAAACATGCTTTTCACATTCACTGACATTTCTTCACTCTTTCTGCAGGCCTTTCAACAGAGCATAGCTGCTTCTCCTACTGGTCCTAGAAGTGGGAATCCTGGTTACATTGTTGGGAAGCCACTCTTGGTTCTAACTGGCACTATACGTCACTCAGTATCCTTTGTGCAAATCCTAATGACAAATCCTGTTACCTTGTGAATTTCCCAATTTTTTTTTTTAAATTTATTTTTTTATTATTCATATGTGCATACAATGCTTGGGTCATTTCTCCCCCCTACCCCACCCCCTCCCTTACCACCCACTCCACCCCTTCCCTCTCACCCCCACCCCCTCAATACCCAGAAGAAACTATTTTGCCCTTATGGCTAATTTTGTTGAAGAGAGAGTATAAGCAATAATAGGAAGGAACAAGGGTTTTTGCTAGTTGAGGTAAGGATAGCTATACAGGGAGTTGACTCACATTAATTTCCTGTGCATGTGTGTTACCTTCTAGGTTAATTCTTCTTGATCTAACCTTTTCTCTAGTTCCTGGTCCCCTTCTCCTATTGGCCTCAATTGCTTTTAAGGTATCTGCTTTAGTTTCTCTGCATTGAGGGCAACAAATGCTAGCTAATTTTTTAGGTGTCTTACCTATCCTCATATCTCCGTTGTGTGCTCTCGCTTTTATCATGTGTTCGAAGTTCAATCCCCTTGTTGTGTTTGCCCTTGATCTAATGTCTACATATGAGGGAGAACATACGATTTTTGGTCTTTTGGGCCAGGCTAACCTCACTCAGAATGATGTTCTCCAATTCCATCCATTTACCAGCGAATGATAACATTTCATTCTTCTTCATGGCTGCATAAAATTCCATTGTGTATAGATACCACATTTTCTTGATCCATTTGTCAGTAGTGGGCATCTTGGCTGTTTCCATAACTTGGCTATTGTGAATAGTGCTGCAATAAACATGGGTGTGCAGGTGCCTCTGGAGTAACCTGTGTCACAGTCTTTTGGGTATATCCCCAAGAGTGGTATTGCTGGATCAAATGGTAGATCAGTGTTTAGCTTTTTAAGTAGCCTCCAAATTTTTTTCCAGAGTGGTTGTACTAGTTTACATTCCCACCAACAGTGTAAGAGGGTTCCTTTTTCCCCGCATCCTCGCCAACACCTGTTGGTGGTGGTGTTGCTAATGATGGCTATTCTAACAGGGGTGAGGTGGAATCTTAGTGTGGTTTTAATTTGCATTTCCTTTATTGCTAGAGATGGTGAGCATTTTTTCATGTGTTTTTTGGCCATTGAATTTCCTTCTTTGAGAAAGTTCTGTTTAGTTCACTTGCCCATTTCTTTATTGGTTCATTAGTTTTGGGAGAATTTAGTTTTTTAAGTTCCCTATATTCTGGTTATCAGTCCTTTGTCTGATGTGTAGCTGGCAAATATTTTCTCCCACTCTGTGGGTGTTCTCTTCAGTTTAGAGACCATTTCTTTTGCTGAGCAGAAGCTTTTTAGTTTTATGAAGTCCCATTTATCTATGCTATCTCTTAGTTGCTGTGCTGCTGGAGTTCCATTGAGAAAGTTCTTACCTATACCTACTAACTCCAGAGTATTTCCTACTCTTTCCTGTATCAACTTTAGAGTTTGGGGTCTGATATTAAGATCCTTGATCCATTTTGAGTTAATATTGGTATAGGGTGATATACATGGATCTAGTTTCAGTTTTTTGCAGACTGCTAACCAGTTTTCCAGCAGTTTTTGTTGGAGGCTGCTTTTTCTCCATGTATATTTTTAGCGCCTTTGTCAAAGATAAGTTGGTTATAGTTGTGTGGCTTCATATCTGGGTCCTCTATTCTGTTCCACTGGTCTTCATGTCTGTTTTTGTGCCAGTACCATGCTGTTTTTATTGTTATTGCTTTGTAATATAGTTTGAAGTCAGGTATCGTGATACCTCCAGCATTGTTCTTTTTACTGAGTATTGCCTTGGCTATTCGTGGCCTCTTTGTGTTTCCATATAAATTTAACAGTAGATTTTTCAATCTCTTTAATGAATGTCATTGGAATTTTGATGGAAATTGCATTAAACATGTAGATTACTTTTGGGAGTTTAGAAGACATTTTTACTATGTTGATTCTACCAATCCACAAGCATGGGAGATCTCTCCACTTTCTATAGTCTTCCTCAATCTCTTTCTTCAGAAGTTTATAGTTTTCCTTGTAGAGGTCATTCACATCTTTAGTTAGGTTTACACCTAGGTATTTGATTTTTTTTGAGGCTATTGTAAATGGAATTGTTTTCATATATTCTTTCTCAGTTTGTTCATTATTAGTGTATAGAAATGCTAATGATTTTTCTATGTTGATTTTATATCCTGCTACCTTGCTATAGCTATTGATGGTGTCTAAGAGCTTTTGAGTAGTTTTTTGGGTCTTTAAGGTATAGGATCATGTCATTTGCAAATAGGGATATTTTGACAGTTTCTTTACCTGTTTGTATTCCTTTTATTCCTTCTTCTTGCCTAAATGCTCTGGCTAGGAATTCCAGTACTATGTTGAATAGGAGTGGAGATAGTGGACATCCTTGTCTGGTCCCTGATTTTAGAGGGAATGGTTTCAGTTTTTCTCTGTTAAGTATAATGCTGGCTGTAGGTTTGTCATATATAGCTTTTATAATGTTGAGGTACTTTCCTTCTATTCCTAGTTTTCTTAGAGTTTTTATCATGAAATGGTGTTAGATCTTATCAAAGGCTTTCTCTGTGTCTATTGAAATGATCAAGTGGTTTTTGTCTTTGCTTCTGTTAATGTGGTTTATTATGTTTATTGATTTTCATATGTTGAACCACCCCTGCATTCCTGGGATGAAGCCTACTTGGTCGCGGTGAATAATCTTTTTGATGTGTTGTGGAATTCGGTTTTCCATTATTTTGTTGAGGATTTTTGCATCAATGTTCATTAAGGAGATTGGCCTATAGTTCTCCTTTTTGGAGGTGTCTTTGCCTGGTTTTGGGATAAGTGTAATACTGGCTTCATAAAATGTGTTTGACTGTATCCAATATCATCTCTATAAAATTCTCATTGAGTACCTGTAGTATTTCTTCTTTTAGATTATTCTTGTGGGCTTTATTGGGTTTTTTGGCATAGTTTATCTTCATTTTGTTGGAGTCTGGATCTGAGTATCTGTTTTCTTCTGTTTTTCCCTCTGGTTCCTGTACTAATTTTTTGCTGTGGGGAAACTGGTTTCCCTGTTTTTTCTGTCTTCCCATCATTGCCCTTGGTGTTTTTATTGTCCCTGTACTGTGTGCAATTAAGTATTTTCTGGCTTGTAATAATAGCACTAGTGATATTTAGAATGGAAGAGTGAGAGGGGATGGAAAGCAAAGAAGTTAAAGGAAAAGGGAAAAACAAATAAGTAGAAAAAAAAACAAGGAAACAAAAAAAAGTTTCAAAGATACAAACAGGGAGAGACAGTGTATTAATCAACTGTAAGCTGAAAAGAGAGACAGAGGATTGAAAATAAAAAATAAAAAGAATAAAGATAAGAATAAAAATAAAAAATAAGTAAATGAAAGAAAAAAATATATATATGTTTAAAAAAATCTCCAAGTTCAAATGCAATGAAGTTTCAGTCTTAATAATTTTGGTGTTCGTCCCTCAGCCTCCAATCCTGAGATGGTGCCTCAGATGTTCTGTAATTGTCTCATCAAAGGGAAAAAATAAAATAGAACAAAACCACACAAAATAACAAGAAAAAAAACAACCCACAAAGTGTTCCAAGTTCAAATGCAATACAGTTTCAGTAAGTTTTTCAGCATGCAGGTATAGTTCGGTTGTTTTCTCATCAAAGGTAGGGAGAGAGGAAAAAAAAGAGTCTGGAGACAGATCTGTGAATGGCTATCTGTGGCTGTGGCTTGCCTGCCGCTGCTGTCAACCTGCTGTTGCTGGAGGCTTTGTTTATGCAGATCTCTGGGGTGAGCTTACCACTCACGTGGCCCCACAGGCTTTGTTTACTCAGTTCTCATGTGCGCGAGCGGCTGCCACAAGCTTTCCCCTTTCCAAGCACACTTGGGGAGGTGACACCATACCCACTTTCTCAGGCCTGCGTGTTTATTTACAGTTCACAGTGGAAGTGGCTCCTCCCCCCTCTCCTGTGGAGTTTTCCTCCCACTGCTGCTTTTACAAGCTTTCTTGCTCCTGATTGCTGGATGTGTGCTGCTGCTCCTGCCAGCCAGCGTGTTTGTTTATAGCTCACATGGGAAGTGAGTCTTACCCCCTGTGGAGTTTTCCTCCCTCCGCCACTCTTACAAGGTTTCCCACTCCTGGTTGCTGGGCATGTGCTGCGGCTCCCACCTTCCCTGGCCAGGCCCGGCTTGTTTATTTACAGTTCCGGGAGGGGTTCTCCTCCCCTTCCCCCCTCTTTGGCACTCAGGGCGCCCCACCCTCTTTGGTACGCTTCTTTATTGTTCTTATTGCTTATTACTCAGTTTCTGTTTTTTTCCCTGGGTGGGGGTTGATCTGTCCAGGGGGCTATGCTGATCTGGCCCAGGGTTGTCTGTGGGAGTACCATGTACCACTTAGCTCACCTTGTGGTCCATGTCTTCCCAAGCCATCTGGGCGCGGGTGTCTGGCAGCCGCCCAGGGGCCCTCCTGGTTTCTCCGTTTATGTGAAGTGCAGATGGCTCTGCACAGGTTGGAGGTGTGGAGGGGTCAAAGTTTTGCCTCTTCTCGGTGGCCTTGCCTGTAAGGTGTGTCTCCAGCATCTCTCCAAGATTTCACTTTAGGAGGCACGCTTTCTGCTTCCTCCTTCTAGCTGCCATCTGGAATCTCTTCCCAATTCTTGAGGTTCCCTCATTTTTAGATTTTCAGCACTTTATTTATCAAACTATTAGTCTATTATATTATCAAATGTTGAAGCCACCTAGTGTTTAAAATGTAGACTGGCTGAAGGTGAGGATTATACTGATTTTTTGCTTTTTTTAATGAGATACTCACAAACTGATGTGTGATTAACTGTTTTTGGCAAAAACAGTAATTGTCCCTGTGTGTTTTTTAATTACTAGAGGAAAAAACACAAGTTTGTGACTTAAACACCATCTAGATATTCATACACCACAGGATTAAGGGTGCAGTGAAAGGTACTTTCTTTTCCTTCTCTCTTGTGATTTCCTTGACTGTCACTTTTCCTCCTTAGATGAGCCTCTTGCAGAGCCAGGGTAATGGAATTTGCTCTGTTAACAGACATGAAGTACAGTTTGGAGTGAATGCAGTGTCCGGATGCAAGTTCAGGTAATTGTTTGCTTCTGTAACATTTTCCACAATTTCATGTGTTTGTATACAGTAGGTTGATATAGTATATTTTTAATATTTTAAGTGATAGTTCAGAAATAGTCTTTAAATGTAAACAATACTATTTTGCTAAGAGTTTTCTGATGATCCTTAATACCCACTAAGGATTATTTCTTCTAATCTACTGTATGCTATTATTTCTGATGTTTGGATTCACATACTAATGTGGTACACTGCAATGTTATTACTGGGCCCCAGCCTCCATGGTGTTTATTTCCAGGCTGAAGGAGGAGGACTGCCACCACATGCAACAGGAGATTTGTCAGACTCTTCATGGAAGTCCCAGGCCAGAGTACATTGCCATCTTTGGCAATGCTGACCCCTCCCAGAAAGGAGAGTGGACCAGAATCCTCAGCAGGAACTGCAGTGTGTCAGTAAGGAGAGAAATATACTTTTGTTGGTGTCTCTTTTTCCACCTTTGTAAATCTTTCTCTGCCTCTGTGTTCAAATCCTTTACTTCAACCAGGTAGTCTGCTTAAGCCTAGTGCCTTGCACATCCCTAGCACACAGGAGATGCCCAGTAACTATCACTTAAATTAATTGGGGATTGTTCTTCCATGCCATCATGTGCTGTTTTAGTTGTATACCTTCCTTACAGTTTTTCTTTTGGAGTCTTTAAGCTTCTCTTTTCAAGCTCTTCATAAAATGTGTAAAAGTTATTTTTAAGTATACTTACCCTACTGTGCTGTAGAACACTAGAAATTATTTTTCCTATTTCACTATAATTTGGTACTGGATATCCAACCTTTCTCTATCCACTCCTCACCCCTTATCTCTAGTAATCAATATTCTACTCTCTTCTATTATGAGATCAACATTTCTAGTTGCCACATATGAGCAAGAATATGTTGTATGTGTCTGGCTTATTTTATACAGTATAATGTCCTTCAGTTCCATCCATTTAACTGCAAATGATAGGACTTCATTCTTTTCTTATGATGAATAATAATTCCATTGGCAAAATTAGTATATAATGAATTCCAGTATTAAGATCATTCAGGATTTAATTTGGTGAAGAAAAATAATAAAGGAAATACTGGAATATAAATTGCCAAACACTGCACTAGGGAAAGAAACCAATTGGTTTATAGACCACATTTTCTTTATCCATTAATTGTACCTTGATTAATTCCATATCTTGACTGCTGTAAATTATATTGCAATAAACATGGGAATGTAGGAATCTCTTTGATATGCTGATTTTATTTTCTTTGGCTTTGGAGTGGGATTGCCAGGTCATATGGTTAAATCTATTTTTGAGAAACCTCCATACTGTTCTCCACAATGGCTGTACTGACTTACATTCCCACCAGCAGTGTATGAGTTCCCCTTTTTCCATATCTTTGCCAGCATTTCTGTTTGTTTGTTTTTGCTTTTTTTATAATATCCATTCTAACATAGTATACCTCATTGTGGTTTTTATTTGTATTTCCATGATTGTCAGTGATGTTGAATATTTTTTCATATACTTGTTGTCATTTGTATTTCTTTTGAGAAATGTCTATTTAGATCATTTGCCCATTTTTAAATTGAATTTTTTGATTTTTTTAGTTGCTTATTTGTTGTTTCCTTTGCAGTGCAGAAACTTTAGTTTGATATAATCCTATTTATTTATTTTTGCTTTTGTTGCTTTAGTTTGATACAGTCCATTTTGTTTATTTTTGCTTTTGTTGCATATGTTTTGGGGGGTCTTATTTTAAAAAATCATATGCCTTATACTGATATCTTGAAGTGTTTCACCTATGTTTTCTTCCAGTAGTTTCACAGTTTCTGGGCTGACACATAGATCTTTGGTAGTTGATTTTTGTATATGGTAAGAGACAGGTCAAGTTTCATTATTCTGTATATGATTATCCAGTTTTCCCTGCACCATTTATTGAAGAGGTTGTCCTTTCTCCAATGTATGCTTTTGGCGTTTTTGCTAAGAATGAGTTAGCTGTAGCTGGGTAATACTTGTTTCTAGATTCTCTATTCTGTTCCTCTGATCTATGTGTTAGTTTTTATGCTAATAGCATGCTATCTTGATCATTATAACCCTATATATCTGAGATCTGTACATCAAGTATTGTGATACCTCGAGTTTTGTTCTTTTTGTTCATGACTGCTTTGGCTGTTTTGGGTCTTTTGTACCATATAAATTTAGTTTTCTATTTCTGTGGAGAAACCCATATGCATTTTGATAGCAAATGCATTGAATCTGTGAGTTACTTTGAGTAGTTATAGACATTTTAACAATATTAATTCTTCCAATCTATACATGTGGGAGGGCTTTCCATTTTTGTGTGTATGTGTTTCCTGCATCAGTATTTTATAATATTTATTGTAGAGCTTATTCACTTCCTTAAATTTATCCCTACATATTTTAATTTTTTTGAAGCCATTATGAATGGGACTGTTTTCTTGATTTCTTCTCAGCAAGTTCATTATTGGCATATAAATAGGCTCCTTATTTTTGTATGTTGATTTTGTACAGCTTTTGATGGAGTCTGGGTTTTTCTACATACAGGATTCTATAATCTGCAAACAGATAATTTTAATTTCTCCCTTATTATCTATAAGCCTTTTATTTCTTTCTTTTGTCTAATTGTTCTTGCAAAGACCAGTACTGTGCTGAATAAGAGTGTTCAAAGTAGACATCCTTATCTTGCTCCAGATCTTAGAGGAAGCAACTTCAGCTATTCCCTGTTTAGTGTAATGTTGGTTATGGGTTTGTCACATATATTTTTTATTATGTGAGGTGCTTTTCTTCTATACTTAATTTGTTGAGAGTTTTTTTTTTTATCATGAAGGTGTGTTGAATTTTATTAAATGCTTTTTCTGCATCTATTAAGATGATATTTTTTCATTCTTTATTCTGTTAATTTGATATAATACATTATTAATTTTCATGTGTTGAACCACCCTTGCATCCATGAAAACAATCCCAGTTGATCATGGGTATGATTTTTTTAATATGCTGTTGGATCTGATTTGTTAGTATTTTTTTGAGATTTTTACATCTATGCTTATCAGGGATATTGGTTTATAGTTTTAGTATTGGTTTGGTATGTGGGCAATGCTGGCTTTGTAGGAGGTGTGTAGCAGAATCCCCTCCCCTTTCATCTTCTGGAATAGTTTAAGAAGAATTGGGGTCAAGTTCTCCTTTAAAAAGTTGGTAGACTTTAGCAATGAGGCCCTTCTGTCCTGAGCTTCTTTTTTTGTTTGGAAGACTTTTTTTTTTTCTTTTTTTTTTTTTTTTTGATTTGATTCAGTCTCTTTATTCATTATTGGTCTGTTCATGTTTCTTATATCTTCATGGTTCAGTTTTGGTAGGTAGTATGTATACCTAATGGTCTTTTGTGTTTCTGTGGTATTAGTTTTAATGTTTTCTTTTTCATCTCTGATTTTGAGTCTTTTTTTTTTTTTTTGTCCTGGTTATTCTAGCTAAAGGTTTGTCAATTTCACTTATTCATTTAAAAAATCCAATTCTCCATTTTATTGATCTTTGTATTATTGTATCAGTTTCTATTTCACTTATTTCTACACAGATCTTTGTTATTTCTTTCCTTCTACTAATTTTGGGATTGATTAGTTTTTGCTTTTCTAGTTTCTGGTTTGTATTTGCACTATTAGGTTTTTTGAAATCTTTCTATTTTTTTAAGGAAGACACTTATTGCTATGAACTTGTCTCTTAGTACTTTAGTACTGCTTTTGCTCTATCTCATAGGTTTTGGTATGTGATGTTTCCATTTTCACTTGTTTTGGGAAATTTTTTTATTTCCCTCAAGATTTGATGACTTTCATGAGCCCCCTTCCCCCCTTTTTTTTAAACATACTAGGGTTTGAACTCATGGCCTCATGCTTGTCTACCATTTGAGACATGTTTTCAGCACTTTCTGTTTTAATTATTTTTGTCAGATAGGGTCTCATGCTCTTGCCCTGCACTAGCCTCACACTGTAATCCTACCTCTACCTCTAGGTGTAGCTGAGATTACAGGTATGAACCACCTTGTCTGACTTGTTCTTTGAGCTAGAGTCTCACTAACTTTTTGATTGTGCTGGTCTTGAACTATGATCCTACTGCTCTCTGCCTCCCAAGTAGTTGGGATTTTAGGCATGAGCCACCACACCCTGCCTTAGCATGTACAGTAAGCTTAACTTCTTTGTGGATTTGTTAAAGTGGTTTTGAACAAGCATGGTCAAAAATAATAAAATTTAAAAATCAAAGTAAATTTTAAAGACAATAATTTTAAATTTCTATGTGCGTATTACCCAGCTCTATTGATGCAGAAAAGCTTAGCATTATTGTCAGTTGTGGTTAAGTCATTGTGTGATCTACTGAGTGTTTCCCTACCCTTAATTTTGTGAAAATCTGTCTCCCAAAAAGCAGATGGAGCTCAGGAAGCAAGGTAAAAGTGAACGTGCCTAATGGCAGTGATAAAGTGAAAATTTGAGATTTGTTGGAAGGTGACATGTCTTTGAACAGAAGTTGGGCAATGTTACAGGGAAAATGAATCAAGTATCCACAGTACAGCACTGAACTCTATGCATCCTGAGCATTCATAGTTTTTCTTCAGTGGCAGTCTCCTTGGAACCATATACCCATGGATTCCAAGGGTCTACCATATTTGTACAACCTCTGAAGTTGCTCTTGTTGATTTCTAGTTTTATTCTTTGTGGTCAGAGAAAATACATGAAGGGCTGGGGGTAAGTCTCAGCTAGGAGAGAGCTTGCCTATGCATAAGGCCCTAAGTTTCAAACCCAGTGCGGGTGGAAGGGCCAGAAAAGATACATGATATGATTTTGATTTTTTAAAAAATTTGTTGAGACTTATTTTGCTTCCTAGCTCATGGAGAATGTTCTGTTTAGTTGTATACCTGTTTATATGCCATTTCTCTACCCAAATTTGCCTTTAATCACTTATTTCTCACAGTCACATATTATTCATCCTGGTTCCACAACACCATCCCCAGCCAGAAATATCCATTTCCTATGACATTTCACAACACTTACAATGCATCACTTACCATGCGTTTCTTATAACCATTGCACATTTTCTTAATAAATATGTTTAAGCTCAGGAACAATAATGTGGTCTACTGTGAACTTTTGTGTGCTTGTTCTAAGCCATACTGGCTTCTGTATTATTGTAATATGCTTAGGAAGTGGTGTCTGGGCAGTGCGTGGTGACTGATTATAGGCAACTATCAGCACATTTAGCAGATGCTTCTTCACCTTCCTCAGGCTGAGAACTGTACTTCCTGCTGTCTCATCCCAGTGTCCCTGGAGATCCAGGTGTTGTGGGCATATGTAGGCCTTCAGTCTAACCCACAAGCTCATGTGTCAGGAGCTCGATTCCTGTACCAGCACAAGTCCATACAGGTAAGTGATGGCTCATAAAGGAACACTAAGCCCTATAATGTCTACACTGGCTTATCAGCCATTTGAGGACTAGATCATTTTTTAACTTCTGAGTGGATAATTTATGTTAGCAACGAATGTTTAAATGAATGAGTTGACACAATTTTAAATTTTCTAGTCTTGTTCTCCCTGCATGGTTACTAAAATTGTAAATAGAGCCTATATTCATTTTTCTCTCTTTTTTATTTAGTTTTTATCCCAAGATTTCAGTTTTTTTTAATAATTCTACCCCTATCACTATGCTGCTTGATTTATTTTCAATAAATGTGTATTCACTATGACAATCACACAGTTACTTGTTTCTGAACCTGTTGAGTATTGCAGTCACTGGTGTGAGTAGTTTATAGTCACCAATTCTTGATTCTGTGTGCTCCCTTTTATAAATGTTTTTAATCTGTAGAAATGCATATCTATTGTTTATAATGTACCTTAGGACAGCTTTAGCATCTGCGTTGGTTTTAGAACCTAATCTTCAGCTTTACAAGTTTAAAAGCATGATATTTCACTCTACTTAGAAATGATCAGGTCCTGGTGAAATGACTCATAAAACTGGGTATGCCAGTTTATTAGCTTTTAGTGAAAATTAAAACATATTGAAATTCCTATCTGTTGCACTGTGTTTACTTTCCAGAAAAGAAGTAAAGTTGAGACTACATTTAGGTCAGACTACATTTGGGTCAGCTGTCCCTCACAGCAGGGTTGATTTTTCTGTGATTATAAAGGGGTTAACACTCAGGCAACCCGAAATTGTATTGCTGAGAACATTCCAATCTTTCCTTATGAAGAACCATTTCTTTAAAGCTCACATAATCCATAAGATACATAGACTTTAGGGTTGGGGTTGTAGCTCAGTAGCAGCACTTGCCTAGCAAGTTTTTTAATGCTGGGTTCAATCCTCAGCATTAAAAAAACAAAAAAAGGTTTTATTGCTTACAAATTATACCTCAACAAAAATTTTAAAACTGAGCAAAAAGGCATTTAAGAAAAATGAAAAGGAAGGCCAAAGACTCAGGAAAAATACTTATAATACATGTACCTGACAGTGTTCTTTTATGTAGAATAAAGACTTCATACAGCTCAATAATAAATTGCACACTTGAACCAAAGATGTATTTGCTCTAGTTCATAGTTTGAATGTAGCTACAAAAGCATAAATCTAAACAAGTAGCCATGGCTTTTTCTTTAAAATAATAGTTTTCATTTGTAATGAGTTGGTGAAGATGTATATATATGTATTGTGTAGTTCTTATTACCAAAGCCAAACAAAACCTAATCCAAACTCTTCATGTTTCAAAGTAAATCTTATTTTGGGACAAAGGATTTTGTTGCATTGTAAATTGAATGACTTGAATGTGATGGCACATGCTTGTAATCCCAGCATTCAGGAGACTACAGCAGGAGTATTGCAAGTTGAGGCCGGCCTGGGCTACACAGTGAGGTCCAGTCCAGCCCAGAGCACATAGTGAGACCTTGCTTCAAAAAGCCACAAAATGAGTAAGAAAAGTTGAAGCAAGTAAATCCCTCCAACTTCACAAAGTGTTAAAACAGAATTGCCAGTGGTAATTTCTGAAGTAGACATCATAAAATATCATAGCTTAAAGTAGAAATAAATTAAGTCAACCATACATAATAGACTTGGTTATGTGTCTTTTGTCTGTCTTCATAAAAGAAATGAGGCAACCAGACTGAGGGAGTTGTTTTTGTGGTGCTCACACAGTGAATAGCCAAATCTCTCACTTTGTCTATATATAACTTAAAAATGCAAATAGAAAACCTATAGACTTCATAATTCAAATATGATACACTGAACTTAACTCAAAAGCCTTGTTCTGCTTGTTGTACTAAAACTTACATTCTGACATGAGTCAATAACATTTAATATTGTCCAGTGACCTTGTCAGTGTAATTCAGTTCCTTTTAAATGGATGATCTGCTGGGCTTCATTTGTTCCAAACCTCCACACAGTCATGGAGGCAGTTTGTTTTAGTTTTAATTGACACATAGTAATTGTACATATTTATGGGGTGCAAAATAGTACTTCAATACTTGTATACAATGTGTACTGATCAAATGAGTAATTAGTATTTTCACAGTCTCAAACATTTATCATTTCTTTGTGTTGCAGACATTCAAAGTCCTCTCTTTCAGGTATTCTGAAATATACAGTAAACTGTTAACTACAGTCACTCTACTGTGCTATAGAACACAAAACTTGTTCCTCCTACCTAACTACTTTGATACCTGGTGTCCATTCTATCACCCCTCACTCTACCCTCTCCAATCAAGGCATTTTTCTTAATAAATGAAGGATAAGTATTTTACTTGAAATGCTTGTTAGTAAATAAATATATGAATTACTACATTTAAGGCCAACCTTTAGGGATGCTAATTATGGTGTGGTGGGAAGGGTAAGGCGTCAAATAGTGATGTATAATTGTGACACATACTTTCTACCTGTAAATCATTATGTTTTGTTACTTTATAGTATTTCCCTACCTCCAAAAATACTTCTACTGTTTGTCAAAAAATTTTTTGAGTACCAAGTACCATGCCTGGAGCTGGACTGTTGTGAACTGGAATAAAATACTGTCCCTGGAAGTTATGAGGCAATGTTGAGGGAGGTTAGAATGCTGCTATGGAAATTCATTAGGAGATACTGATAGCCTGACCTAAGTAGACAGACTCCAAACAGCTAAACATGCCATAAATCAGTCAGTTCTACTTTTCTTGCATATTTTGTTTATGGAGACTTCTTGGGAATTCTTGCTTCTTATGTTTAACTCACTATCACTAGGCACTACTTTTTATTATTTGTTTACTATCTTGTTTTGGAGAAGCTCAAATTCTAAATAGCCTCTTTGGAAAAAGGTGCATGTAAAGTACATGTTTTTGCTGGGTGTGGTGGCCTATGCTTGTAATTTCAGCACTGGGGAGGCTGAAACAGTGGATTGTGAGTTCTGTGCTGGACTGGACTACATAATATGACCCTCTCTCTCAAGAAAAAAAAAACATTTATTTTTTCTTTAGTTTACGTGTCTAAAAACAACTTCAGCCATCATCATCATGATGCCTAAATGATTATTTGGCTGGGTATAAAATTCTAGATTGAAGATTACTTTCACTCAGAATTTTTTTTCCTTTTTGGTGGTGTCAGGGATTGAACCCAGAGCCTTGTATATGTTGGGAAGCACTCTGTCACTGAGATAACATCTCCAGTCCTTTATCACTTTGAGACAGTATCTTGCTAAATTGCCCAGGCTATCCTAGAACTCTCTTCCTCCTTCCCAAGTATCTGGAATTATGGGCGCATGTCACCATACCTGACTTCACTAAGGATTTTGAAGACATTCTTCCATTGTCTTCTAATTCTAAAACTGCAGTTCAGAAGCGATTTTGAGATATCTTTCTGTTCCTAGAAGTCTGGAGTTTCCACAGTATTATTCTGGATAGGTCTTTTTTTCTTTCATTACACTGAATAATTTATGGGCTTCTTCTTTTTTTTTTTTTTCACTCTGGGAACTCAGTTGTGCAAGAATTCAGTTATTACATGTTTATTAATTTCTTACTCTTTTCTCTGTTCTTTTTGGAATTCTTATTAGTCTGTTACAGGGATTCCAGTAATTACTTTGATTGATTCAATAATCACTTTTTATTTTCTCTCATTGTCTCTCTTTTGGCTCCTTCTAGAAAATTTCTTCAGTTTATCTTTTTACTGTGATTTTTCCAGGGAGGTGCAGTGTTGGGATCATACCCAAGGCCTTTCCTGAACTTTTTATTTGAGCTATCTAATGTTTAATTATTAAGAGCTAGTGTGTATGTGCATGTGATGTGTGTGTGGTGTGTGTGTGCGGTATGTGTACGGAATGTGGGTGTGGTGTGGTGTGTGTGGGTGTGTGTGTATGTGTTGGGAATGGAACCCAAGGCCTCAAGCATGCTAGGCAAGTGCTTTACTACTAAGCTGCAACCCCAACCCAAGCTCTTTCTTATTCTTTAAATACGATCTTTTTCTTACATATTTTTGAAGTTATTGACAACTTTGCATCTTCATCTTTCATTATCTGAGTTTCCTCTGACTGCTTATTCTGTTCATTTGATTGTATTTAATGTAAGAAGCTCCCCCTGCACATGTTTGTGGATCTCTATCTGCCTATCCAAAAGAAGAGTTAAGCTACTCAGCTGTCTGAAATCTCAGTGATCATGGGTAAGACTTGCTGTCCTGGGGTCTTCACTGTAGGGCAGTTAGGTGCAGTTGCTTTGGGGGTTGTGGAACTCCCAGATGTTAGTATCTTTTTGTCTTTGATGGGATTGTTAATTTTTTTCCCAGAGAAGACCTTCCAGTCGAATACATCTGCCAGCATTTTACAGCTAGATAAGGAAAGTGGTTTCAACATACAGTTATGCCCCTATTTTTAGTTCCGTGCCTCACTCTTTACTTACCAATGCCCAGTGTCCCTAAGTCCAGAATTTCTCTGGGTCAAATTGTCCAGTCTTTTGTTGAAGTGGGGAAAAGATAGTTTCCTATCTCATTGAGGGGATATTGTTCAGTAACCATTTTCTCTCTCTCCCTCATCCTGCCTCCCTTTCATATCCTCTTACTGAGTTTTTCAGAGTTCCACAAAGAAGACCTGCTTGCTTCTGGTCTCTGAAGGCCTTTTAGGGTGGCCTGCATTCTTGTGAAAACTTGCCTCCATTTGTTTTCTGTTTTCACATACTGCTATGTCTTCATATTTCAATAAAAATGAAGTTTTTGTATCTGTTTCTTATTGGATTGAAGTGGTTTTGAGGTACAGAGAAAAGACATGTGTTTATACTGTTGCCTTAAAATCCAGTCTAATAGTAGCTCTTGATGGGCACATTTGTGGGTAAGTCTGAAAGAACAAGTGTTCAAATAGCTTCTATTATGTGGGGTTTCCTAGTTTCCTTAAAACTATATACTTAAGTAGATCTGAGTCTAATGATTGCCTCCTTGGGCTTGTAGTTATCTTAGAGGTTGATTCTGGGCATAGGCCAACCTAAAGGCTCTAGAAAGTCCCAGAGTTGAGAGGTTGAGGAAGCTAATGGCACTCATCTTTTCTCTATCTGGTTTTGCAACCAATGAAAAGCAATCAGACACAATTCATTACATTTTTTAAAGAGCTAGTAAGGAGGATTTTGAATGTTCCCAACATAAACAAATTATAAATGTTTGAGATGATGGCTATGCCAGTTATCCTGATCTGATTGTACATTATATATATATATATATATATATATATATATATATATAAATGTCACACTGTACTCTATAAATATATAATTATCTATTAAAAATTTCAAATGAAAAATTTTAAAAAGGAGTCAGACATATACCCCAACATATCAATTTGTTACTAATAAACACTGGTAAGTATATGTGGCTTGAGTATTTAGTAGTGGGCTCCCTAATGCAGTACTGCACTCTTCCATCATGAGACTGCTACCCCAATTCCAACCAAGGCTCCTTGGAAGAGTGTCCTCCTGGGATTACTAGTGGGAAAGTGAAAAATTTTCCCTCCTCCTGAAGGTCAGAAATGAATCAAAATAGAACATTAATTAAGTCAACTTCTAAACAACTCAACTCAAAACTAAAAATTCATTTCTGTTCTTTTTCCCATCCCAAATATTTCTAGTCATCCTGGCTAGTCTAGCTCACCAGGCACTCTGCAATGAGATTAAGTAATGCTCTTAACACTTCCATAATGTCAGGTTTGCCCCAATTATAATGGGAAGTGATTTACTCCTCTTTCTATTGTAAGTTCCTGGGGAAAAATCAAATTCCTAACAATAAATTTTTTTCCCAGAGAAAGTTTATTACTTATTGTTTAGTTTACTACTTAAAACATCTCCTAATTTTCTTTGTCTGGTTAGTCTCAGCCAGTTTTCGATGCCTGGCTGGAGTCAGGATTCCCTTGGCAGTTCAGCCTAGGCTGGCTATCCATGGAATGTATAATTCAGTATCTCAGAAGTTGTATTATTTTATCCAAGTGAGCTTCACAGTTTAAAAACAGAATCTAAAAGGTTAATAAGAAATGTAAAATGCCAGGTGCCAGTGGCTCATACCTGTAATCGTAGCTCCTTGGGAGGATGAGATCAGGAGGATCATAGTTTGAGGCCAACCTGGACAAATAGTTCACAAGATCCCATCTCCAAAATAACCACAGCAAAAATGGACTGGAGGTGTGGCTCAAGTGGTAGAGTGCCTGCTTTGTAAGCATGAAGTCCTGGGTTCAAACCCCAGTCCCACCAAAAAAAAAAAAAAAGACATATAAGATTATATCAGCATTGGCCTTACGCCTTACACCCATTTTAAAAATCAGGCAAAAATAAATTAAATAAATAAATATGGCCCGTACAAGGGTTATTCCAGGTAAAATTACACTAGATAGTTATTTTCTGTCAAATTATAATGAGAAGTTTGCTTAGTAAGCGTAGAGTCAGAACAAAAAAGGAATTCATTTTAAGTAAACATGATTCTAGTTCTTGCATCATCAACTGTAGCCATATCCAAAAGCCATGTCTGTTAGATTAGATACTTTGAGTCCTTTCTCCTGGGAGCATCTGTTTTATTTGACTTGAATTGGTGATTGGGAGGATCCTTTCAAACCCATGAACTTTCACCTTTTTTTACTGCACCCACTCATGTATGTGTACTGTTACAGAGCATGCATCTCATGGGACATGATAGGATAGAGCTCCTAAGCACGTACTAGTAGCAGTTTTGTCATGTGGCCTCTCTTATATCTGGCAGCTCCCTAACTGGTGCAGCTAGAGTTATTCATGTAACTGTTCAGAGTCTTGGCGTTATGGACCGTTACTAAGAAATGCATTTCCTCATAGAAGAGAACTACATAGATCATAGGCATATATTGCTTACAGCAATTTGTTTTCAGTCTTTCTTCAGAGAAAGTAATGATTAAGCCAACTTGGAGGACCATATGAATGAATATCAAGCACTGACTTATTGTTGACTTTCTCACTGTAGGATTCCCAAAATGGAGCAGAAGTCTCTTTGACAACTCTTGTGAACTTTGTGGACATTACCCAGAAGCCAGAGCCTCCAAGGGGCCAACCCAGAATGGACTGGAAATTGCCATTTGACTTCTTCTTTCCCTTCAAAGTGGCATTCAGCAGTGGGATAGACTCTCAAAAAGGCTCAGCCTCTGCCATCTGTATCCTGTGCCTCTTACTACTCGGAGTTTTCAACTTACACACTAAGTGAAGAAAGAGGGTAATTACATTTCAGTTTTCCCTATGGGAAGCTCTAAGGCAGCTTACTTGACTAAATAGATATTTACCTGCTCATGACTGGGGAAGAACAGTTAAGAAAACAGAACCTAACCAAAGGAATTTTAGTACAGGAAAGAAGCTGTTTTAGAAAAACAATAAATATATCTGCAGGCTACCAGGTACATATCCTCTGCTTCTCAAGCTGGGGAAGCTAGGCTTATCTCCAGCCCTTCTGGCTACATTTTGCTTGACTAAAGGTTTTCAAGATCCTTATCCATCTTCTCCAGGCACAGTTGGGCCCAGCAGAAAGAGAAACTGCCTGTTGTCACCCAGAATGAACTCAGAATGGCTGCCCTCTGGACTTAGGATGACTATTTAGGCCAGGAAACTGCTGGCTCTACAGTTGTCTGACTCCTTTGCCAAGGTCTGGCCACACCCTTTGCCCAGACAAGAGCAGGGATAGTAATTCTTTCTGCTCAGTTTCCAAAATGAACGTGGAATCCCAGATTCACTTAATACCAGCAAATGACCATTTCTGTTCCTTCCTTCCCTTCATCATGGTGAGGAGAAGTAAAACTGTTTAAGAGCACTGTTGTACTAAGTCCAGCAACATGGCAGAAGTTAACTGTCCTGTGATGTACCTTATGATTATTTGTTCTATGTGTATAAGATTTTAAAAAAGCCAGGCACATAGCTCATGTCTGTAATCATAGCTACTCAAGAGGTAGAGATCAGGAAGATAGTAGTTCCAGGCCAGCCTGAACAAAAAGTTTACAAGACCTCATCTCAACCAATAAGAATCTGGGTTTGGTGGCACCTATGCACGAAGCGTAAATATCATGATTTAGGCTGGCCCAGGCATAAAAGCAAGACCCTATTTAGAAAATGACTAAAGCAAAAAGTGCTGGGGGTATGGGTCAAGTGGTAGAGCACCTGCCTAGCAAGCACAAGGCCCTGAGTTCAAAACCCCAGTACTGCCAAAAACAAAAAAAAGGAAGCTTAAGCATGGTGGCACGTGCCTGTAATCCCTGCCCTTGGAGGCTGAGGCAGGAGGATTGAGTGTATAAGGCCAGCTTAGGCTACACAGTGAGACTCTGTCTCAAAAAACACAAAAAGAACTTTGACACATTGCATAATAGCATTCAGATCAGGGAACTTGGGTTCTTTTCCTGAGAGATACTCTCTGAAGACCCCAATTTTATGCCAGTGACTCATTCAGTGTGAAATCTATTTTTGTAAGTATAAGGTAATGGCAACTTACAAAAGGTCCTGCTTGGCCAATTCAGAGATTCTGGCATACAGAGAAAACTATTCAAAACGGTAATTTCCTATTACTGTTCCTTAGGAAAGGAATTGGTTGAGAATTATAATAGAAAACATGGAAAGCAGGAAGCATAAAAAGGCTTAGGCCTGATTCATGCTATTCTTGTAATTAAGGCAAATTTTTATTGAGGATATCATTAAATCTAATTTAACTTTAAGCTCTGGCATTAAAAAACTGAATATAAAGAATAGAATGTAATGGAATAACTCCATTGAAACTGTGAAACTGAATTGTAAGGTACAGCCCCTCTGTGACCTGACAGTTTGTTGGGGGAAGACTGATGTATGGCACAAGAGAGACATTTGTTTGAGAAGTGGACATCACTGTGGCCTAGACTAGTGAGGGGCAAGCTTTGAGGAGGTAGTGAGGTTGGGCATAACATGGCAGATGGGGAAGGCTGGAGAGGGAGTAGGAGGAGGAGGTGAAATTGGAACAACCTAAGGGAAGGCCCAGGGATTCTTGTGGACCAGCTGTTAAGGGACAGAAGCAGTCATAGTTGAAACACTGAATAGACAAAGCAGAGAGGATGGGAGTTTATTGTGCGCAAACCTGAAAGCCAGGCTAGAGACAGCATGGTTTTTTCCACAGCATGTTAACACTCTGAAACCTTTCAATAAAGCTAGACTTAGTTACAGTAAATCCTGCTTCATGAGCAGAAAGTGCTAATTGCACACACCATCTCTGAACTGGTTTATCACTTTGCTCCATTCCAAAGTCCCTGAAAAGCAACCAGTTTCCCTGAAGAAAGAGGCAAAGTTCTTGTGGCAGGTATTATAAAACTAGAGGAACTATTTCTGTATGAGGGGCATTCTGCATAGGGCAGTCAGGAACTGGTATGCCAATGGCACAGTTTGCAACGGAGTTTTACATAGGTATTTCATTCAGTAACCTTGCTTCTGAGGAGACCTGTAGTAAAACTGACCACAAAGCTATTAAGAGCATTTAGCTTCCCAAGTGTGATCTTACAGAGAAATAACTTTATGTGGCAACTCATCCTAGGTTATGGGGTAGCAGACAGATGACAGGTTCTTTGAAGAATTTCTCCCTCTTCTTTTTTATCCCCAGCACCACTCCTTTATTCAGATTCTTAATCTCATGCCTAACTGGAATGAAACTCTAAATAAAATTTATTCTTTTAAAGTGTATAATTTAGTGCAGTCACAGTTAAGTAACAATCATCACTAATTCCAGAATGCTTTATCACACTAAAAAAAAAAACTACTTACTTGCAGTCACTTGCCACTTCCCTTTCCCCACAGTCCCTGGCAATCACTAATATCCTTTGTCTTCAGCGATTTCCTATTCTAGACATCATAAAAATGCAATCTTAAAACGTGACCTTTTGTGTTGAGCTTCTTTCTCTTTGCGTAATGTTTTCAAGGTTCATCCATGTTGTAGTATGTATCAGTCTTTTCTACTTTATGGCTGAATAATATTCCATTACAAAGATTAACACAAAGTGATTTGTCCATCAGTTGCTGGACATTTGGGTTATTTCCAGTTTTTGGCTATTATGAATAATACTGTTATGAATACTTGTGTAAGTTTCTGTTTGGACATACTTCTTCATTTTTCTTAGGTATATACGTATGTGTGTGTACATATATATATATACATATATGGAGAACTACTAGGTCATATGGTAATTCATACATTTATTAAGGAACTGCCAGCCTACTTTTCAAAGTGGCTGCAATATTTTTGCAGTCCCACCAGGCAGCATTATAATGGTTCTAATTTCTGGACAACATTTGTTACTGTCTTTTTTTTTTTTTATGTTGTCTGTCATAATGAATGTGAAATGACATCTCATGATCGCTGTGCCTTTTTAAAATGTAACATACAAAGATCTTACACCAGAAATCAGCACATCTGTTCTTCCAAAGCAGAATTCCTCCAGAGTACTTTCCTCTGTACCTGTGCTAATGAACTCCTAAGCCTACTTTCCAAATAGAAGGCTGTTGAGCGTACTTTGGATAAGATTTTATCTTCTTATCTGCACTCACTCTCCTTATGATAGAACTTCAAAATTATTTTCTTCATTTGAATGATTGGCACACATTAGGTTCTATATTTTGTTTTCTTTGCATTTTGAAAACCATTTATAGAACGATGTAGTCTTAGTTCTCTCCCTACACACAGGTAAGTTATCAACCACTTACTGCATAAAAGGTCTTTCTTATAATAATGTATTCAATTTAAAGAACAAGTTTTACTTTAAATGGATATTTACAGTTTGGATAAAATGAAATTGAAATTTTAGCCATCCCACTGCAAGTGTAGAGAAACAGGTCATTAACATGTCATTAAATCTAATTATTTTAACTTTAAGCCCCTGGTATAAGAAACTGAATTTAAAGAATAGGATGTAATAGAATAACTCCAGTGAAACTGTGTGAAACATGAAATTGTAAGGTACAGCCCCTCTGTGACCTGACAAATTGGTGGAAGAAGACTGACATTTGACACAAGAGTCATATTTGTTCAGAGAAGCAGACAATGTGGCCTAGACTCTCAAATACTTACAATGGGAGTATAAACTGATAGGTCAGGAGAAGGGCAGGTAGCTACTGGATAATATGTATCAAAAGCCTTAAAAATGATTACTAACTGATCAGACAATTCCAGTTATTTAGCATTACCCAAGGGAAGAAATGTCCAACAGTATGGGATTAGTTAAATTATGTTACATCTGTTGGTTGGAAGGTTGTACAACCACTGAAAATTGTGTATACTTGCCTTTATTGCAATAGGAAAACATTTATGATCTACAGACTACAAAAGAGTGCATATACTCTGTGGTCCTATTTTTGTAAAAAAAAAATATATTTAAACATGCATGCATGGCAAGCAAAAACTGAAAGGCCACATGTTAAGAATTAGGCTTTTAGAAATAGTATGATTTTTATGATCAGAAAATAAAACTATTTTGAGGAAACCATTTTCTCTCTAAAAAGAACTTCCATTGTGTGCAGGAATGTTCTGCATGTATGAGTAACTTCCCTTTTCTATCCTGTATTTGTTTAGCATTCTAGGCATACCTAGGATTGTTCCCAAAAGCCTGTCACACATAATGTGCTAGGGTTCTTTCTAAAAATACTTTCTGCGCTCCTCCCCTAAACATTCTGCTTCACTGGTGGAAGAGGGGACCTGGGAAGTGGAATCTCTAAGAATTGATTTTTTTTTTTAAAGTTTTCCAGGTGCTTCTGATGTACAGCCTGGTTTTTGAAACTAAAGTAATGATGTACAGTGTGGCTGAAACTGGTTCATCTAGTGTTTGTCTCATCATTGCCAACTCACCATCATGGGCACCCTTGCCTGAGCATGCCCATCACTCAGTGCTCTGCTGACATGGTGGGCCCAGCCTGTGTTCACACCCACATGACCTTCCTCTTCCTGCCACAGCTAACTGGTCCAAGAATGGAGTCCTCAACCACCCTGTGCCGCAAAGATTTTCTCTCTTAGGCATTGGGAACCAAGACCAAGACAAGAAGTCATTCAGGAGTGGGCAGTAAGTGGAAGAGTATTTAGAGCTGGGGAAGCCATTTTCCACCAAATGTTCATTAATGGAGAGTCTGTCTTAAAAGAAAAAGGAAAAAAGGAAGCATGTGTGTAAAGAGAAATGTAAATAAGAGACTTAGAAATGGAGGGTAGTATTGGTTCCTAATTTTCCATTTCCTTGTTCTTGTCTCTTGTGAGACCCAAGTTTACCTCCTGCCCTTGAAGGCTATCAGTTACTCCTTCCAATAAATTGCCTTATTGGAATGGGTTCTGCTCTTTACATTAAATAACTTGAGACTAAAAGAATTTAAATTAAAATAACTTAAACAGCATCTCAAGAACCCTGCATAAGCATACAGCCCTCTCCTAAATGTCCCTCTTGCTAGCTATGTGACTTTCTGGGCATGTCCAGCCTTATTTCCATTTGCTGAGACAGATGTTAAGTCCCTCTGGTCAAGAAAGATTCTTTTTATCATGTGCAGAAAAGATACCATAGCTGAATTACCTCCTTCACTGGAGAGAAAATAGCTCATATGTCTGATACTTGATTTTTCCTATGTGTAGCTCACAGTCACACATACCACTCCTTTTTCCTTACTGGTGAAGTACAGTATTAGTAACACAACAATAATAATAGCAGTACTAAATAAAATAGAAAATGTGCAGAATGTTAAGGATTTTCACATTTAATACTTAAAAAAAAAAAGTTTCTCATTGTGTAGCCCAAGCTAGCCTCACACTATGTAGCCCAGGCTGGCTTCAAACTGTTTATCCTCTGGCCTTTGCTTCTTGAGAGCTGAGATTACAGGCATGTATGAACATGCTTGGCTTTTCACTTGTACTCTTCACAGCCCTATGAAATAGACAAGAATGTGTTAGCTCATTTTTTTCTTCTGCAGTGCTAAGGATCAAACCCAGAGTCCTGTGTCTCAGGCCAATTTTGTAATTGAGAAAACTAAATCAAAAGAAATTAAATTTATTCACTCATCAAGTATTTACTGAGTATCTCTTATGTTCCAGGAATATACCTATATTCTAGCAGGGAAGCCAGACAAGCAACTAACATAAGGTGTGGCCTTCTAAGGAAGAGAAAATCCCATTCCCATAGCTCTAGCTACATCCATGGTTGTCTCCTTTGTCTGCTCATGAGGAGAACCTTAAAAAGAAAAGCTCAGGTAGCAGGGAAGTTTTCTTTTGTAGGCAATTTTCTCTTGTGTCTTCCAAGACCCAAAGTGCTCAAAATTTAACAGATGCCACATGCTTTCATCTCCATTCCCCCAAAGAACTGCTCCCCTCATCTGTTTCCTAAGGCATTTGCAGCACCATCACATTCCCAAGTACTTTCTTGCCCTCCTCCTTTCAAGAAGTGACTGCTGGCAACATCCCCTCCTTTTCACTACCACACCCCTGCTGGAGCCTTTTGTCCAGTCCTTTCTTAAATGGGCCTTTACAACCAACTCCCAGCTTCCACCCATTTTTACTGATTTCTGGCACAAAAACCTGACATCATTCCAGTACTTTAAAAGTTTGGGCTGTCTATTAGGTTCACAAAATTGAAAATCTTCAGCATAGCACAGAAAACTCTTTTACAAGGTGGGCTCACAGCCAGACACCTCTCCTGTCACATGCACAGGCAGCCTCTTCTCAAAGGGTCTTCCTCTTCTCTTTCAGGTGAACTACATGGCCTTCAAAACACAGTTCAAGTGACAACTCGTTTTAAAGCCAGCCCTGAATCTCTGGGCTCCCCCTTCTCTAATGTTTAGCACATCATGTTGTAATAATTTGATTATATATCTGTCTCATAAGGACATTGAACTCAATTAAGGTGGAGAATTATGTCTTCCTTCTCGTCTAAGTAATGTTTGGCACACAAATTAGCTGTCAGTTCATTTTGGGCAGTTGTAACAGAATACCAAAGACTGGGAAATTTATTTTTTAAAAATTTGATTTCTCACAGTTCTGGAGTATAGAAGACCAAGGACAAGGCCCATTATCTGGTAAGGGACTTCTTACTTCCTCCATAAACAGCAGAATGCAGAAGGACAAGCCAGGGTGTGCTGACATGGCTGCAGAGCAGAAAAGGGTGAATCCATTCCTGCAAATATTTTTTATACTGCATTTGACTTGAATCCCTGCTGACCTAAAACTTCCCAGGAGGTCCCACCTCCCAAAAACTGCTGCACTGAGGATTAAGTTTCCAATACATGAATTTTGGGGATACAAATTGTGAGGATAGCAGTAGCCCATGTTTAAAGAATAAGAAAATGAATAATAGGTTCAGCAATGTTGTCAGAACTACCAAAGCACAGGCACCTTTCTTGATTGGAGTCACCAAACTCCAATAAAGTGCTGCCCTCCTCCAAGCTACATGTATTCAGGACCCTGCCCTATGAGGAAAACACAGCATGTAGGAAAGGGAGGAAATCTGTGTTCTCATTTTAAGAGTATATGTACATTCAGTTTTGGAATAATTCCAATCGCCAGAGATTAAATACAGTATTTAAAAATGCAATATTTTTCCCACTGCCTTTGCTGAAAGAGTAGAGCTGAGACGGTTGGAGAAACTTCCAGATAACTAAGTGGCAAATCACTGGACCGTAGTGCCAACTTTTTCCCATTTCAACAGCCAAAGTTTGCAGGGAGGAAAGTGTTCCATAAATTGATCCAGCCTATTTCCAGGTGAGTCTGGCATATAAATGATCCACGTTGACAGACACATCTTATGAAATCTACCTGCAGCTGAGGGCACCAGACAGCTTTTCCACCTCTCTGGAAGGCTCGGCTTGGGCGCCTCTTGGACACTTCAGCCTCGAGTCCCTCCCTGGGGACGTGGGCTTTAGCCGGCGCCCCAAGCCCCGCCCACACCCGCGTCAGCAGGGCGGGGGGCGGGCCCGCCACGTGGAGCGCAAGCGGGATTCTCGCAAGCGTTTACGGCGTTGCCGCGGCGCAGCCCCGGGCGGCTCCGACGTTCCCACGTCAAGAGCGGAGGCGCCGCGGCCTGGCTTTACTCCCACGCAGCTGACGTAACGCCATCGTGCGGGCCCTAGACGGAAGAAAAAGAGGCGACGGCGGGCGCCAGAACCAGCCAGAGTGGTGTGCTGGCAGGCTGCGGGCCAGGGACGGCGGTGCGGAGCAGGTATGCTGCGAGCGGCGGGGCGGTGTTTCCCGCGCCCGTGCGGAGGCCGAGGCGCGCAGGCCAGGCAGGAGGGGTGTGCGTGCCGGGCCGCCGGTCGCCGTGGGCTGCAGGGGCGCGGCCTGAGCAGGTGCGGGGCCGAGGTCGCGTCCCCGCGAGCGGTGTGGGCACCGGCGCAGGGATGGCGGCGTGGCTGCGCGGCCTGGGGCGCGTTGCAGGGCCCGGAATGGTTCCATATGTCAGGGCTTGGAGGCCTCGGGTCTAAGGATGGCTACCGCCCGCTATCTCCCTGGTCAGGTGAAGGCTTGATGGACGACTCTGCAAGGAACCAGCTCCCAGTGTACCTGCGCTGGCCGTGGTGGCATACCGAGCTTGTAACGGGCCACACGCAGACTCTTGGGCCTGTGTCTGCGGTTTTCTAGGGTCAGCCTGGGTGCTCGTGATCCTCCCCGCAGCCGGGAAGCTCACTCACCACCGCCTTTTGCACTATGGCAGAGGGTGTGTGAGAGTGCCTTGCTGGCATATCAGGGCGCAGCCAGACCCTCCACTCCCACACACCTTACCTCCCCCATGGTTGTCCCCTGCCCTCTGAGAAGGTGAGATTTATCTTCAGGCCTTTGTCCGAAGTGGCGAACATGTACTGAGCATGAGTTTCTGGGTGAAGTTTGTTGGGATTGAAGTTCAGTTCCCTATCAACGAGATAAGGGCTCTCTGTTGGGAATGTGTAGCGCTGTACTTGAGAAATGTCCTAAGTCTAACCCTGATGACTTTTTTTCACCTGATGACATTGAATCTAGACACACACCCACATTTCGCTCCTTGGGATTACCTGTCTGGAAGAGAGAGGTAAACAGTTTATAAATATTTGTGTGATCATATCCAACAGTGACTCTTCATTGGTTTCTTTGTGCCCATGGCAGGTCCTGAAGGAAATAATAAAAAGAAAAGGTAAGACAGGCTTCCAAGGCAGAAGGAGGGAAACTGATGTTGACTGAGCATGTATTGTACCCAAGCACTTTCCGTGCATTATTTTACTTAATCCCCACAATAATCTTATGGTATCTTTGTTATTATCCATGATTTACAAATAAGGAAATTAACACTAAGGAAGATTAACCCTCCAAAAGGCACATTGCTAGCAAGTACAGAGGTGGTCCAACTTCAAAGGCCTTGTTCACAATCCTGGTCATGTTGTCAGTGGGAAGTTTATAACCCAGTTGGGAAAAGCAACAGTAACATATGAATCAGCTAGAGTTGCTGGAGAAGGTTTCACGTCCAGAATTTAGTGTTACTGTTATTTTACCCTTTGGCTCTTTATAGGCATTTTGCAGAATTACATGTAAATAATTGTTTAACAATCATTTTTTTTTTAAATTTAAGTAAGTGGCAAACATAGACCATGGACTCACTTCATACTTCCCTGTTACACAGAAACTGAAAGGCCACAGGCCATCACTTAACACATTCACTTGCGTACCAGATGCCACATATTTTATAGCAAATTCTGCCCATCTCTTCTCTCCATTTCTGTGTCTTTCTTTGTGCAATATAAATTGTAGATAATTGCATGCTACTTCTTGCTTTTCTTCACCGTGGAGCTAATGATATTTTTTTGAAGTACATTTAAGAAGAGAGTTGTAATATATTCACCAGTCCATATAGCATAAGTTAAAGGAAGGCCCTCTTACCTTGTGGAAATAGCAATTTCCCTGTAACAGAGAGCTGCAATAATGAATGGCTTCTTCTCTGGGTACATATAAGCAGGAGTCCCCTATTTTGTGTTTGTGTATATACGTATGTATGTGAAATTATCCTTTGTCTAAAGACTCGAGTTTACCCAGGGTGAGAAAATGCTCAGAACCACCATGTCCTCAATGTTGAGATTTCTAGCCACTTACTTATCCACCATGGGATGTGCTCACTGTCATTTAAATACTAGTTGTAGGCATTCTCCTCCACCTCCCCCCTTCCAGGGTTACAAAAGTTGCTTTAGATTCTGTGGGCAGCAGGAACAGTGACATGGCAGCAGCCTCTGGCCTTTCCTCTCTTCTCATGGCTGGCAAAGATCAAGCTGACATTTCAAATATGTGAGCTTCCGTGTTTGGTTGGGAGGTGGTAGCAGGAAAATGGAGATGGCTGTTCTGGGACCTAAGAGTATAGGTGATGTAATAAGGATTTAATGTCAATATATAAACATACAAAACATAAACATTGTTTTTGGAGGGTGGGACGGGTTTGCACACAGGACTTCACTTTTGCAAAGCAGGTGCTCTACTGCTTGAGCCACACCCCCAGCCAAAAGATATTTTATCATTCAGAATATCCATAATCTTTAATTGCTCTGTGCCTATATAAAAACTAAGGGGTCCTAGAAAGGAACAGCCTGGAAGGGAGCCTTTGTTTTTTCTCTCCTATAACACAGAGGAGGTAGGGATCTCCTTAATACAGAAGAGTTTAGAACAGGAGGGTGAAATTTTTACTCTGAGAGAATGAGGAACCGGAGGAAAATAAAATGAACTGTCTGATCTTTTTCACATTTTTACACATTTTTATTAGCATGTATTGTACAAAGGGGGGGGGTTCCATGTATGCATATAATATATTTTGATCATATTTGCTTTTTAAAAATGCATCTCACAGATACTTGGATTTGTGACCACGTCTCAGCATGTTGAGTCAAGTTTACCGCTCCGGGTTCCAGCCCTTCAGTCAATATCTTCTGCCCTGGGTCCAGTCCACATCTGTCTCCAGATCTCGTATGTACCACTGATGATCAGGTGGGAAGTTTGGTAGTCAAAGTATGTTTCAAACAGAGTTTTAAAGGGGAAAAAAAGATGGTGTTTGGCAGAATGGACAAAAGCAATGGGGCTGCCTGCTCGTGAAATGTTCCAAGTATTTTTATTTGTCAACAAAATGTTCTCTATAGTCATTGCCCCCAAAATTTATATAGGCTGGTTTTATTATTTATATATATATAGGCATAGGTATTATTTTGAGATGATTGTAGATAACTTGAGGGCTGGGCCTGGCGGTACATACCTGTAATCCCAGCAGTCAGGGAGGCAGAGATAGGAAGAATGAGAGTTCAAGGCTTTCTTGGGCTACACAGCAAGTTATTGAAGGCCAGTCTTACACAGTGAGAGCCTGTCTCAAAAAAAAGAAAAAACAGGCTGGGAATGTAGCTCAGTGATAGAGTGCTTGCCTAGCATACACAAGGCCCTGTGTTCAGTCCCAGCACTGCCAAATAGAAAAAGTAATACAGAAGGCCCCTTATATCCTTTTCTCAGTTTCAACCAGGATATTCACATAGGTACAGTCAAAATACAGAACATTTTAGCTAGGAATGGTGGTGCATGCCTGTGATCCCACTTGGAGCGCTGAAGCAGGAAGATTCCAAGTTTGAGGCCAGTTTGGGCAATATGGTGAGACCTTTTCTCAAAAAACTAGGGTCTGGGGGTATATCTCTCAGTGGCAGAGTGTTTGCCTAGCATGTGCAGAGCCTTGGGATTCATCTCCAGTGATACCAAAAAAAAAAGAAAACAAAAAACCACCAGAACATCTTACCACCCCAGGATCCTTCATGTAGTCTTTTATTAATACCATCTCTTCCCTATCCCTACCCCTTGGCCATCACTGATATGTTCTGCATTTATAATTTTGTCATTTCAAAAATATTACATAAATGGAATTACATACATGACTTTGGGTTTTGTTTTTTTATCTTTTTTTTTAAGACTCAGCATGATTCATCCAAGTCACTGTTGTATTAATTCATTCCTTTGTATTACTGAGTAGTATTTAATAGCATGGGTATAGCACAGTTAGTATAACCACTCACCTGCAAAGGACATCTGGGTTTTCACCTTTTTCAGGAGGGGAGGTGGGGGGGGTTGGCTATTATGAATAAGGCTGCTTTGAATATTTGTGGCAGGTTCTTTTTTTTTTTTTAAGTGGTACTGGGGCTTGAACTCAGGGTCTCACACTTGCTAGGTTTGCTAGGCAGGTGCTGTATTACTTGAGCCACTGGTTTTTTGTTTTTGTTTTGTTTTTTTGTATTGGGTGGGTTTTTTCTTTTTTTTAATTGCTATAGCGTCTCACAAACTGTTTGCCTTGGGCTGGTTTCTTGTGTGGACATACAGTTTTCATCTCTGGGATGAGTGCCCAAGAGTGCAGTTGTTGGATCAGATGGTAGTTGCATATTTATTTTTTTTTATTGTTTTACTGGGGGTACATTGTGACATTTACACAGGGTCTTAACAGGATATCATAGTTGAATTCACCCTTTCATCATTCTTCTTTATCCCCCCCCATTCCTGCAATAGTTCCAGCAGGTCTCATTTTTCCATATACATGTGTACACAGTATTTGCACTATATTCACCCTCCTATATCCTCTCCCCTCCCACTGGTACCAACCCCTCATGCAGAATTTTTTCTGCCCTCCTGTTCTCTGTTTTTTTTTTTTTTTTAAAAAAGACATTTTTGTCTGTTTAAGTAGCTACACAGGGAGTTTCCTTGTGACATTTTCATATATATATTTTATAACCCGAATTGGTCCATCCCCTCTATTTTTCTCCTTTCTACCTTAGTTCCTTTCTTATGGTGATTTCAAAGGTTTAAATATATCTATATTCATTCCTGTATAGCAAACATATTCACCTTCTTAACTTCCTTCTTTTACTCTCCCTCTCTCATATGTGATCTCTCCTTAGTGTGGTCTGTGTTTCATAATACTGTTGTATTTGTATTAGATCTATACTCCAGGTGTGAGAGAAAATATGTGGCCTTTGGCTTTCTAAACCTGGCTAACTTCACTTAAGATGATGTTCTCCAGTTCCATCTATTTACCTGCAAACAACGAAATGTCATTCTTCTTTGTGGCTGAGTAAAATTCCATTGTATATAAATACCACATTTTCTTAATCTATTCATCAGTAGTGGGGCATCATGGCTGTTTTCATAGCTTAGCTATTGTGAATAGTGCTGCAATAGACATGGGTATGCAGGTGCTTTTGTTGTAACCTGACTTACATTCCTTCAGGTGTGTCTCTAGAAATGGTATTACTGGGTCATATGGCAGTTCTATTTTTAGTTTTTTGAGAAGCCTTCTGTACTAATTTACATTCCCACCAATGGTTTGTACTCTTGATAATAGTCATTCTCATAGAAGTGAGGTGTAATCTTTTTTTTTTCCAGTACTGAAGTTTGAACTCAGGCCCTGCGCTTTGAGCCACTCCACCAGCTCTTTTTTTGGTGGGTTTTTTCAAGATAGGGTCTCAAGAACTGTTTTCCTGGGCTAGCTTCTTACCACTGTTCTCTGATATTTACCTCCTGAGTAGCTAGGATTACAAACGTAAGCCATCTGCTCCTGAGGTAGAATCTTAACATGGTTTTGATTTAATCTTATTAGAAACTACCAAATTATTTTGGTAAAGTAACTAAACCATTTTACATCAATATATAAATGAACCACTTTCTCTGCATCTTCACCACCATGTGATGTTGTCACTGTCTTTTTTATCCATTTTGATTGATGTGTAATGGTATCACGTGGTTTTAACTTGCTTTCCCTGGATGATAATGATATCGAACATCTTTTATTTGCCATCTGTATATCTTCAGGGAAATATCTGGTCATGTGTCTTGCTTGTTTTTAACTGGATTTTTTGTTTTTCTCCTTTTGAATTTTGAAAATTCTTTATATCTTCTAGTTATTAGTCCTTCATCAGATATGTAGTTTGCAGGTATTTTTTCCCACTTTGTTAGCTTATCATTTCATTTTTTTAACAGGGTCATTCATACAGGAATGTTTTTTATTTTGATCATGTCCCATTCATCAGTTTTTCTTTTTATGGATTATACTTTTGGAGTCGAGTCTAAGACCTCTGGGTTTTTCTAGGTCCTGAAGATTTTCTCCTGTGTTTTCTTCTAAAAGTTCAGTAGTTTTGCATTTAAGTTCATGATCCATTTTGAATTACTTCTTGGATGAAGTGTAAGATTTATGTCAAAAGTTCATTTTTTTGGCCTGTGGAAATCCAGTTGTTCTGGCATCATTTGTTGAAGCTCTGTTTTGGTATTTTGAGTTGGCTATCTGCACTGTATCACCTAAATCTTATCAGCAAGTAGTCCATCTCTGAGCCTCAGTACAAGATGACTTGCTTATTATCACTATCCAGAAAATCTGTTTCTCATTAGTGTAAAGAGTATAAGGGTTAAAAGTTTAGGATTTAGAGCCAGCCTCCCTGAGTTTGAAAACTAGCTCTGTTCCTTATAAATTATATAACTTACTGACATAAAACAACTCTGTATTTAGGTCACAATTCTGTGGATTGGCATTTTGGACTGAGCTTAGTTTTCAGTGGTTCTCTGTGTCAGCTTTTAGACAGGCTCAGGGCTGATTGCTGGGGACCAGAGGCCCTTGCTGGGATGCTGGGTCATCTGCGTTCCATGTAGTCTCCCATCCAGACTATCCATGGCTTCTTCACATGATGCTTGTGGGTTCTCAAGAATGGCAAGCATGAAAGCTACAATGCCCCCTAAAGCTTAAGCTCAGAATGTCCAGTGTTGCTTCTGCTACATTGTTCTAATCAAGGCAAGGCAAGGCACAGAGCCAGCCCAGATTCAAAGAGTGGGAAAATAGATTCCACCTGCTAGTGGGAGAAGATGCAAATTGCTGTGGCCATTTTCATAATCTAGTAATATTGGTTAGTCAGTCAATTTGTTGGGCTTCTGTTTCCTTATTTATAAAATAAGAATAATTAATAACACATAAGATAACTAAAAAGGATTTAGTTAGATGATGATGACTGTGTTAGACAGTTCCCATTGCTGTGACAAATTACTTGAGAAATTCAATTTAAAGGGGGAAATGATTAGTTTTGACTCATGGTTTCAGAGGTTTCAGCCATGGTTGGCTGGCTCCATTGCTTTCAAGCTTATGATGAGATAGAACATAAGGATGGAAGGGCATGGTAGAACTATGGCACCCAGAGAGGAAAGAGAGAGACAAGATATATCCCAGTGACCTACTTTCTCCTGCTGGATTCCACTTCCCAATAGTCCATTCAGCTATGGACTTAGTGTATTAACCCATTGATGAAGTTAGCACCCTTATGATCCAGTTACCTCTCAGTTGTGCACTAGCTGGGGACCAAACCTTTTAACACATAAGCCTTTTGGGGGGACACTTCATATCCAAACTATAACATCATGGTGATGATAATGATAGCTAACACTTTCTTATAATGCTGTTAATATTTATTGTGTGCCTACTTTATGCTGATCTCTGTTTATCCATTAACTCGTTTCATCTCCATAACTACATTATGAGATAGGTAAGGTAGCAGCTGGTGAACAGAGGACTTGAGATTCCAACTCAGACATTCTGGCTCCAGAGCCTACACTTGTTCTTATGGGCTTTACCTCTGAATCAGGTATAAGCATAGCTCCTGAGATACAGGAAGTGTTCATTTAGATATTTTTACTGTTGATATTATCTGTTCTCATTAGCCTCTATTAGAAGGAGGCACTTTCTGGTCTTGTCCCTATATTTTTGTATCCAAATGTGTGTGTGTGTATGTATGTGTGTGTTTTATGTTCACTGAACATAATGAGCAGAAAAGCAGAAAAGAAACAAAATAAGCAAAGTGAAAAAGTATATGGAGAAAAACATAGAAGGAAGTGGAAGACCAAGAAGAGAGAGAGAGAAGCCATGTCAAGTCCCTTCTTGAGCCTTCAAAGACAGCCTCATTGATTGCTGGACATAAGGACTTAGATGGTGAAATAAGACTTATTCCTTGGAGTGTAATCCATGGCACTTTTGAAGAATGTCGACACCCCTGCTCCTACCCCCACTGCAACCACCTGTGTGTACACACATACACCTCACTATCCCTTCAGACCTTCTAGAGAAACAGATTTTCTTTGGGACTTGGAGCCTAAAGATTCCTTAGAAGATGAAAAAGGATTACTCATCTCAAAGCTTTGGATTTTCCTAACAAAAGCCTTCTCAGTCCTGTGTTAGTATATTTTTTATGTCTATGACAAAATTCCTGAGAAAAAGCCAACTTAAAATGAGGAAGGGTTTGTTTTGGCTCACAGTTTCAGAGGCTTCAGTCTGTGGTTGCTTGGCTCTGATGCCCTTGAGCTTGTGGCAAGGCAACATGTCAAGACAGAAGCCAAAGAAACTGCTTGTCTCATGGCAGCCAGGAAGCAAAGAGAAAAGAGTGTAGATCCCAAAATGACCTTCTAGGGCACATCTCCAGTGACCTTACAGCCTTCTGCTAGGTCTCACTCCCTAAAGCTTGCACCACCTCTCAATAGCACCATATCCTGGTGACCAAGCCTTTAACACATGGTCTTTGGGGGACATTTCAGATCTAAACCATAACAGTTCTTAGTGTGAATCCTGAAATATATACTCTGTAGAACATAAAAGTGCCCCCAAGAAAGGTGGGGTCAGTCTGGGGAAAGTAAATGGCATTATTCAACAGAAACCCCAAAAGTCCTGCATCCCATGAAGCTCTCCTTGTGCTAGGACCTACTGGACTTTACTGAGTTTTTATCAGTTTGAAACCTGGCTAATAACTGTGACCTCCTCTTGAATCTTGTCATCTTAATCTGCTGTGTTCCAGTTGCCTACAGCCAAAATGAAACTCAAGAGCCTGTCTCTGAGCCATGCCACCCTCCTCTGCTGATATAGACTATGGGTCACACATCTCCTTCATGCTTTCCCAGCTGCTGGTTTCTGACTGATTTCTGCCATTTGATCACCTGGACTGCCATGCCGGCTGCAATCTGTATCCCTGAGATGTCCTATCAGGCTGCTATTCCCATGTGCATACTCTTCCAGGACATGACACGCCCAGCAATAGACAAGAGAGACATGGCCAGCTGGTCTGGTCCTAACAGCTACCGACTCCATCAAAAGACCAAACTTGAGACTCCAAAGAGAGTCATGAGATACATGACTCCAAAGAGATACATGATCCTTGGTGTATCTCTGAGCTCTGCAAGTGCCATTGATGATCAGAGGTACAGACCTCAGGGGAGTTTTTCTCTCTACCACCTTTCTCTCTTACCAGGTCACTAGGGCCAAGCTGTCATTTGTACAACTTTTGAACTTAGGTGTACAAATTGTTTAAGATAATATCCCTGAACACCAAAGCATGGGACTCAGTCTTAAGATTAACCAAGTGAAGAAAGGTAGCCCCAACAACATACCCATATTTTAGACACCAGTGGAAGCGCTAGTATAACTGTGGGTGCATCAAGGATGCCAAAACCCCACTTTATCCCAGATGATGCTTCACTGAGCAGTTTGTGCCAGGAACCAGACTGCAAGCCCACTGTGAAAAAAGTCCAAATTATCTTTCTTATATACCACAACCTTGAAGCCATCACTTTTAAAAATGATTATTTATGGGAGGAGAAGAATGGACTCTTTATTGCTTTGTTTAAAATGCTCTTTCTAAGATTTGTGTGTGAAAGAGATAGTGGGAGCACACACTGTGACCTTGCAGGCATGAAATGAGCTTCTGCCTGCTTTACATGCCATTGTCACAGATAGAGAATGGGTATGGAAGCTGGATTATGGTTAGAGGAATTAGTGGCCAGGAGATAGAGGCAGAGAAGTTCCAAGAAATCTGTAAATATGAAGGAGTAGTTGTGATTGATTCAAGTGAAGGTAGAAATAGTTATAAAACAGTAGTCCAAAAGGTGGCTTGGAACAATTAGTTTAGTAATTTCATTCAGATATTTATTAGTTGCCTATAATAATGCATAGAAAACTCTTTGTGGAGAATTGCCTAAAGTTTAGTCCTGCTGAGAGGGAATCTATATTACCCTTTTTGTCTTGCTTCCTTGCTACCAGGGAGTCTCACTAAGCAAAGTTCTGTTTGCTGTTAGCCCCTCTCACCCATCTAGTGACAGTCTTCTCTCCCACCAAGGCCTCAACCCAGGCTTTCTGCCATGCACTCATTCTGCCTCTGCTCAGTTAGTTAGGTGCATTTAAAGGAAATTCAAATATCAGTGACTCAAACAGGAGAGAAATGTATTTCTCTGTTCTTTTTCAGAAGGGATGTTGGCAGCACCACAAGAAGGCAGGCAGGTCAGGGTTCCCTGCGCAGCAGCACTGTGGAGTCATCAGGACACTGTGCTCCTTTTCTCTCATTGCTTTACAGTTGCTAATGTTTCCTTGTGGTCCAGAGTGGATATGTGAGCTCCAACCTTCACACCCATTTCCATGTGGCAGGACTGATAAAGAAGCACTTCTCTCTCTCTCTCCCTCTCTCTCTCTCCCTCCCTCCCTCCCTCCCTCCCTCTCTCTCCTTCCTGTTTAAAAGGATGTTCCTAGAAATCCCACACAACGTTTTCATGCTTACCTCATTAGCCAGAACTTAGTCACATGCTCATACTGAGCAAAAAAAAAAAAAAAAGACTGGGAAATGTAGTCTTTTAACTGGTGGTGTGCCCAGCTAAGACTTTAGGGATCTGTTCATTGGTGAGAAAAAGGACAAATAGGTCATTGGTAAGCTGTCACCAGGAGAAGTTTGGCCCATGAGAAATGGTGAGGGAATTCCTTACTTAACATTCCACTTTTTTTTCTTTTATTTTGGATTTATGCAGATAATCTTTTCATCTTTTTAATCAAGATTTTTTTTAAATCACATTAAAAAGCACACTTTTTTTTTCTGATTATGAAAGCAGTACATTTTTCCTGCATAAATTTGGAAAACACAGGAAAGAATAAAGAAGATGCAAATTGCCCATGATTCCATCAAGAGATAAAATATTAATATTTTGATTATTTTATTCATCATTTTCTACACATTTGGACTTGTACATGAGCGTAGCATATCACAAACATTTTCCTGTTACTAAAAATTCTAACAATGTTAATCTTTCTCCCCTTTTTTGTCATTTACTCTGTTTCTGGTTTTTCCTATCATAAATGAAATTCTGATGAATAGCTTTCTGATAAGTCTCATTGTCCTCATCTTTGACTTATTTGTTAGAATAAATTTCTGAACATAAAATTGTGCATGAAAGGATCGGACATTTTTTAAGGCTTGTTATATTTTACCAGCAAGTCTTCAGGAGAGATTATTTCATTTATATTCTTCACCATCAGTGCTTGAGTGTGCCTGTGACCTGTGTACTGGGTGTAAACTCCATACAGTATTAGATTAAGAAAATGCTAGATAAAATTTATTTCATTTTTATTTTGAGACAGAGTACCAATATGTATCCCAGGCTGAGCTCAAACTTGAGATCTTCATGCCTTAGCCTCCAGAGTACTGTGATTGCAGGTGTGTACCATTATCCCTGGTGAGGTATTGTTTTGGTTTGGTTTGGGTTTTTTTGAGATATAGGGTCTTACTATGATGTAGCCCAGGCTCTCCTTGAATTCCAGATCCTCTTACCTCAGGCTTCCAAGTGCTGGGATTATAGGCATGCACCACTGTGCCTGACTTAGTTTTAATATACAGGTTTTACCTGATTAATAATGGTAAAGCTATTTTTGACAGCTAAGCTGATTAATACTATGCATGCAAATTCTCATTAATAAATTGTGTTTTTCTTTTCCTTCCTTGCATTTGACTTTGGGGGATACAGATCGTGTCCAGTCTCCAGCCATCAGACATGTTCGTTCTTGGAGCAACATTCCCTTTATCACAGTACCCCTCAGTCGTACCCATGGAAAGTCCTTTGCCCACCGCAGTGAGCTGAAGCATGCTAAGAGAATTGTGGTGAAACTGGGCAGTGCCGTGGTAACCCGAGGAGATGAGTGTGGCCTGGCTCTGGGGCGCCTGGCATCTATTGTTGAGCAGGTAATTGCCGAGATGAGAAAATCTGCTGAGCTAAATTAGGGTCTTTAAATTCTTAGTTCCACTGTATTAACTTGTAAAAATAATCTTGTTTTGAGCGTAGTAGTTTTCACCTAGTCAGAAAACTCTTTTGCCACGTAGATGCCAGTGGGAGACAGAGAGAAGATCTGATGGTTTGTGTGTGTGTCAGTGGCTACTTTAGGTGGTACTGGGTTTGAAATTAGGGTCTTGTGCTTGCTGGGCAGGCACTCTACAACTTGAGTCACTGATTCAGTGTCAGTGATTCTTAATCCTAGCTGCACATTAGAATCGTCTGAGGAGCCTGGAGTTGCCTGGGCTTCACTCCCAGTAGTTTGATAAGTTTTTCTGGGATGGGGCTCAAGCATCTGTTTTTGAAAGTTTCCAGGCAACTCTGATGTGCAGTCAGGTCGAATACCCAGATTGATGTGTGTAAATACTTACATTTTCCTTTTTTTTTTTCTTCCTGTTTTACTGTTTTGCATAAAAAACAGTTATCCAGCCATCCCAGAGATAAGGTGCTAGCTGTGACTTAGCTCTATCCTCCATAATGGTTTTCAGTTGTAAAAGACAACTTTGCTGAGTTGGTATTAGGGAACTGCTCACCAGAAACATGGTGGAATCTTCATATTGTAGTTTCTGTACTAAGCAATTATCAGATCTTCTCCATAATTTGAGTCCATCAGATCAATTCAGTTGATCAGATATCAAGGTGTGTCTTAGTCCTTTTTATTCTGCTATGACAGAATTCCACAGAATAGGTAATTTATAATAAACAGAAATGAATTTGGCTCATAATTCTGGGGAGCCATATCTGGTGAGAGCCTTTTTGCTGCATGGTGGAAGGGCAGAGAAAGACCTTGAGTTGAAACTTGCAGCCTCAAACCCTTTTATAATTGGCTTTAATCCATTCAGAGGGGTGGAACGCTTATGACCTAAACATGTCCCACTATGCCCTACCTCCCAACACTGTTGCATTAAGTTTCCAATTTGTGCTTTTTTTGTAGCAAGAAGCTCCTTGCTACAGTTTGTGAGAGATACAACCAAGCTCTAACTGTTGTCTCTGCCTTGGGGAGCCAGAACTGGTATTCCTAAAATGATAAGTGATCATTAATGACAATAAATATTCAAAGGAGTGGACTGGTCCATAGATGAGAAAGTCAAATGAGAATGTGGTTGTTCCTGGGGCTTCCTACAAGGGACCTAACCTGAACCTTGATAACTGGTAGTGTTTGTGCCAACAGAGGAATAAAATCTGTAATGCCAAGTGAACAGTGTGATTGGTGCCCCTGGGGTTCCAGTGGTTCTGGGGAAGGGACAGGCTCCAGGATGGATTCTAGGGGAAGGACAGACAGGAGCCAGGGAGGAGGCAAGGTTGAGCAGTTGTGGAGTGCTTATCAGAAAGGATGGCTCATTTTAGGCAGAGCTCTGGAGCCAAGTAGGGAAATTGGGCTATAATTTCAAAGCTGATGAAAGGTTTTTGAGCAGAGGAGAAATGTGGTAAAGGTTTGCTTAGGTTACCAGCTCCCCTCTGGGGCTGCTGTGAGCCTGATAGAAAGGATCTAGTAGGTAGTGCTTGTTAATACAGTCAGTTTCCTGCACCTGTTATGTGGGCTCAGGCGCTGACCTAAAGTGGCTTCCCCTGGCTATCATAGATGGACAATCTGAACGTCAGTAAAAGGTAGTTTCTTCAATGTAGTGAAATACGTTTAAATTCATGAGTTCACCATGATGAGTTTAAAAACTCCTTGGTCATCTCTGGAGGATACTAGAGAACCTACTCAATATTTTAAAAATAGGTAAGTAAAGGGAAAGACACATTTGTCTGCTTTTCATACACAAGCTACCTCAAAATAACCAAATAGTTGAAGAAAATTTCCCTTTACAAAGGTATTCCAGCCAATAAAGGAAGCAGAAATGATTGAGTTAGAATATCAGCATGTTGCAAGCCCTAATGAAATAATGGGTCTTGATAATGATCAGCATCAGTTTCTTTCATAGAAAGAAAGACAAGCAGGCATTATGCATCCCCTTGATGGACATACACACCACAACCTAAAGAGAATTCTCTGCCCCCCCCAAAAAAAGAAAATCACCCTCCATACTTAACAGCAGTTTGCAGAAGGTACAGAGCTCAGTATTAAACAGTACCATATGGACACAATCAGGAAAGTGTAGACTGGGAAGTCCTAAAGAACAAACAGCTCATCTTAATTTAAAAAATTGCAAAAGGAGAAACTGATGGAGGAAGAACCTGTGGATTAAAAGAGACTCAAGACATTTCATCTAAACAGTGTATGGGGTTAATTTTCATTCCAGTTTGAGCAAGTTAAAAAAATTGGGGAAATGTGAACACTTGCTGTTTGATGTTAAGGAATTCATTCAGATGTTTTAGATGATGGTTTCGTAGATATATATTCCCTGTCTTTTAATGATCACTGCTGAGGTATTTATTCATAGATGGAATACGTCTGGGGCCTCGGATTTTTGTTAAAATAATGGTGGCATTACTGGAGAGTGTGAAATTGGCCATTGGAAGTAGTTATTGAAACTGCATGGTTGGTACATGAGGATTTATAATGCTACTCAACACTTTGATTAAATAATGAAATTTTCTGAGATAAAAATTGTTTTAAAATCGTGGTTTGTCACAGCCTTTAGTTCCGAAAACATGTAATAGTGTTCAACCATCAGGAGGAATGTCCAGGTTAGGAGTATTGATTTTTGCATCTTAAGTCTTTGATTCTTTCATGTGGGTCTATCCAAGCTAGTACTCAAAGTGGCCATAGCTGGTTCTGGACAGGCAGAACAGAGTAGGGTTAGCATCTGCTCCTGGTCTAGGCAAAGGTGATCTGTAGGATAAGATGTACCCCAAATACAGCCTCATCTCCCAAGTTAAGCCTTAAAACTTGGGATGCTGCTAAGTCTACATTGCAGTTCTTAGCTCCAGACTTCTGTTCTAGACCTTACTTCCTGAAGCAAGGAAGCCTTTTGTTACCAACTGCAGATATCATTTGGTTGTATAGATGTCAAACCTGCTGCATGCCAGAATCCCCTTTTTAAAAAAATCTCATTTCTGTCTGCCACCTACTAACTTAGGAACCTGTATTCGCCAGACAACCTGAATGGTTCTTCCAGAGCTAGAACAGTGCTATCCAAAGAGGAACATTTAGATCTGTTCTTGTCTACCCTGTTTGGGTCTCTTGTGACAAGAGGAAACAGTACTGTGACTTGTGGTGTGTTTTTCTTTCTCAATGTCAGGTATCAGTGTTGCAGAATCAGGGCCGAGAGATGATTCTGGTGACCAGTGGAGCTGTTGCCTTTGGCAAGCAGCGCCTGCGCCATGAGATCCTTCTGTCTCAGAGTGTGCGGCAGGCTCTGCACTCAGGGCAGAACCAGCTGAAAGAGATGGTGAGTGTTTCTTCCCCACCCTTTTGACAGGTTCTTAAGTCTACTTCCCTCTTTCCCAACCACACCTTTTCTGATTGATATTACAGGCAATTCCAGTCTTAGAGGCCCGAGCCTGTGCAGCTGCTGGACAGAGTGGGCTGATGGCCTTGTATGAGGCCATGTTTACCCAGTACAGTATCTGTGCCGCCCAGGTGAGAAACTGGGTTTCACTGGGGGTGTGGGACCTGTGAAAGGGGTTCTTAAGCAAGAGGCTTATTAGTAAAACTCTTAAGTCAGATGCCAGGATATGTAGTCTCAGCTTCACCGCTTGCTACTTCAGAGATGCAGAGAAAATCTGTAAGTCTGTGCCTCAGTCTCTGAAAGATGAGGATATCAGTACTTCAGAGAATTTTTAGAAAAGTTCAATGAGAATTTATCTGAAAAATATTTAGGACCATGTCTGGTATATAGTACAATCTCAGTAAGAGTTATCTTTTGTTATTATAGTAATAACTCTTAGGACTACACAAATGTGAATAATTCTGAACACAGAAAAGCTGGATGTGTATTTCAGTGGCTTTTTTTTAATCTAAGGTAATTTGCTTCTCTTTGCACCTGGTTACCATTTATAGTAGGTATCTATTAAGCACTGAAAGGAAAGAGGTATGCTGATGGTTGATTGGTCTTTCATTCCCTCACAAACATTTATTGGACACCTAAGGTGTATCAACTAGTCTATCAGACATGGAGGATTGTGTGGTGAAAAAATCAGACAAAGTTCCAGTCCTCATGGGACTTAGAAATTTTTGGTGGTTACCTCAGTATTCTAGGACCTTCCTTATACAATATTTCATTTTTATCTAAATTTCCTGAAAGTTTTTTCAGTTATATTTTTAATCAACTGTGCACTAAATAGAAATGTCTGAGAGTTGGGGGGATTGATCTCTAAAAGAACTGGATAAGCATCCAGAGATGTGTGTTTCACTCCAATCTGTGTGGAGTCCCAGAAGCCTGAAGTTTTAACTACCATGTGCTTAACACCTTTCTATGCCATTCCTAGGAAGTTCATTACATTCCTCCCTGCTGCATATTTTATTTATTTAATCCTTTTAGATTTTGGTGACCAACTTGGATTTCCATGATGAGCAGAAGCGCCGGAACCTCAATGGGACACTTCATGAGCTCCTGCGAATGAACATTGTCCCCATTGTTAACACAAATGATGCTGTTGTCCCTCCAGCCGAGCCCAACAGTGATCTCCAGGGGGTAAATGTGGGTAAAGTATTGCTAAGGGTTGACCATGCTGGCAGCACTAATGCATGCTGTGCTGCATGTACTAACACTGAAAGTTCAGCATGAGCAGGGGGGTGAAATTGGGAGAGAAGCTGGCCTCACGGAGCCCTGGCTGCTATGGTGATTGGGAAGGTGCTATGGGCACAGCTTCTGTAATTCAGTGGATAGAAGGCTGCATGTTGGGAAGCGGGGTTGCTAGTGGGTATTGTGTTTTGCAGGCAGGGGGTATGCAAGAGCTGTCACCTACCTACTCAGGGTTGTTGTTTTTGTCTGCCAGAACCTAGCAGGATGCTTCTGTGAATTTCTTTTTGGACTGCATAGCTCACTCACTTACCATTTTTTTCCTGCATTCTAGGTTATTAGTGTTAAAGATAATGATAGCCTGGCTGCCCGTCTGGCTGTAGAAATGAAAACTGACCTCTTGATTGTCCTTTCAGATGTAGAAGGTATAAAGTAATGCTTTTCTCTTTCATCTACATGTGTGAGCACATGAGTTTCCCTCCTTGTACAAGTCCTCCTCACCTTTTTTTTTATTGTGGGCCATTATTTTCTGAGCCATATGAACTTACAAAGAGTTTTTCTGACTCCAGATAGGGTGGGTGACTCTGGAAGATGCAGTTTAAATACTGAAATATTATTTCTAGGTACTTTTGATTTTTTGTATGAACTTTATGAAAATACAATTCACATGCCATACAGTTCACCAATTTAAAGTTTACAGTTCAGTGTTCTTTAGTACATTCACATACTGGTGCAACCATCACTACAATTAATTATTAAATGTTTTCATTACCTCAACAAGAAACTTCTCACCCATTAGCAGTCATTCTCCACTTCCCCACCTCCACCCAAACTCTCCAGTACTAGACAACTTTCAGTCTGTCTCTATGGATTTACCTGATCTTGACACTTTACATAAATAGAATCATATACTGTGTGGTCCTTTGTGATTGGCTTCTTTCAATTAGTGTAATGTCTTCAGGATTCACCCACATTGTAGTATGTATCAATACTTCATTTCTCTTTATTGCCAAATAATATTCTACTCTGAATATGCCACATTTTATTTATCCAATTCTTTAGTTGATGGATATTTGTGCTATTATGAATACTGCTATGAACATTAACATATTTTTAGATGAGCATGTGTTTTTTCACCTAAATGTAGAATTGTTAGGCTAGGGGTATAGCTCAGTAGTAGACTTGCTTAGCACTTACAAGGACCTGTATTTGATCCCAACACTACAAAAGAAAAAAAAAATAGAATTGTTGATTTTTATGGTTACTGTGTTTAAAAGCTTTTTGAGGAACTGCCATACTGTTTTCCATAGCAGCTACACCATTTCACATTCCCACCAGCAGTATATAAGTGTTCTAATTTGTCTACATTCTTGTCAGTACGTACTTGTTATTATCTGCTTTTTTGTATAATAGCCATCCTAATGAGAAAAGTGATACCTCATTGTGGTTTTGATTGCTTTCAGTTTTTAATGTAAATCATGGGATAGCTAATTTTAAATTGGAGCCATTGTAGAAAATTAGGCTATATGGCTACCTTGGTTTTTTTTGTTGTTGCTGTTTTGTTTGTTTGTTTGTTTTTTAAGATATTACTTTATTTTCTGCTTTCTCCCACTTCATAGACGGGCCCCTCTTGGCTCCAATTTGATTCTTCATTCACTCTTCTCACATCCTAAGCTGTTCTGATTTTATAGTTTGACCCATAAGAAATATAGTAGTTTTGTCCAAAAGAAACCAAACCTGTAGGATCCTCAGTCCCACATTTCATTCCCAGGAGGTCAGAAAAACACTGCTTACTTCCCAGCCCACAATCAAGGCAAGTTAACATACAAAACTTGCTTGTTCTCCATTTTATTCAACAGTATCAAGTAAGGGCAGAGGCTGCCCATTGAAGGCAAGCAAATACTAGTAAATTAATCTGTCTTCTGCTCATGTAGAAAGACAGAAATACCTTACCTACATGTCAGTGTCTTTACCTGAGAGAAGCCTGGGTACTATGTTTATCTGCTGTAATCAGAAACCTCAGGATATGAACAGCTGAGTTGGGTAAGTATGAGCCACTCTGGACAAGAAGGCATGTTGGTTAATTAGCAGGTTTTTATTGAATTTCTACCATGTGCAAAGAATGTGCTCTGTAAATATCAATTTATTCAATCTTCATAGCAGCCCTATATAACAATAGGTTAGCCCAATAATAGAGATAAAGAAATTAAAAAACAAGTTTAGATCAGTTAAATATGTATCCAAAATCATACAGCAAGTGCTTGGCTGAGGCAAATTTCCAATCTTAAGTCTACTTAACTGAAAAATTACTCTGCCTTCTCTCCTATACTGCCTGGCAAGGCAAAAGATGGGAGTTTTCTGGATCAATATACACAATCCAGTTTGAACTAGCCTCTTGTAGAAAGTTTGTTGTTTGTTTTGGTGGTACTAGGGTTTGAACCCAGAGCATTGTGCTTGCTAGGCAGATGCTTTCCCACTTGAGCCATGATCCCAGCCCCTTTTTTGTTTTAATTATTTTCTGAATAGTGTCTTGCATTTATGTCTGGGCCAGCCTAGACAGCAGTCCTCCTATTTATGCTTCCTGCATAGCTGGGATGACAGGCACATGCCACCACACCCAGCTTTTATTGGTTAAGATGGGTTCTTACAAACTTTTTGCCCAAGCTGACCTGAAACCATGATTCTCCCGATCTCCACCTCCCAAGTAGCTAAGATTACAGGCATGAGCCACCAGTACCCCAACTTACTAAACAATTTAGTGCAGCTTCAAATATCAAAATTGCTTACTGATAGGCTTGTGCTGTTCCTGGTAATTAGTTTAACTAGTCATTCACCAAATGTTGATTCTTAGAAGAGTTCCAGAATTTTAAATAGACTGTTGGTGGGGTTGAGAGGCTGCTGTAAGGAAAAAGAGTGAGCAGAATCCCAGAATGCTGGGAGCCACATGGCGTCTCTGGAGAAGATTTGACTTAGAATGGTCTAGTCTTTTCCATGCTGTTAGGTGAAACTGAACAGCCTCAGGTCCAAGCCTGTCATCTCATAGTGCCATACCTTTTGGGAAGAACCCAGCCTGAAATCGTGGAGAACTGTGCAATACTAGTTGAGCCGCACAGAGACTGAGAGCCATTATTTATCCTTTTCCTACACTTACAGCTCACTCCCGAAAGAGGTGTACGTTTAATAGTATCGTACTAAAGATCTGGAATAATGGGGGGGAGAGGTATACTATAACATAGGAAAAACATTGATTTAAACCAAAAACATCACCACCTAAAATGGCCAGTCCCTAGCCACAGGCAGTGCCTCTCTACCATGTTTCTCTTAGGATTTGAATTGACTCCATTTTCTTAGACCCCTGTTTTCACCTTCCAAGGCCTCTAGTCTTTCAAAGTGAAATTGTAAAGATTTTTAACCTTACATTGTTCAGTTACATAAAGGGCATGTGCTTTATGGTGATAAATGCAGACTGAATGCCAAAGTCATGAGCTCTCTTGCTGACTCAGTCCAACCTCCAAGACAACTCAGTCATAAAACAGGGAGAATAAATTAGTGCCTGTTTCAAAGGGTACGGTGAGAGTTAATGAGTACCTGCTTCACATTTCATCCTGCTTGGAAACAGTCTCATTAAATGGCATATGGCTACTACATTATTTTTGCAATATCCCCTCTTCTTTTTCATTTATATCCTTGAGGTATAGCATGATAAGTAGCAGTAGCAGAGGTGAGAACATTTGTCAATGGACTATGAACAAAACTAATAAATTATGTGCCAAGGATATGGCTATGCCTGAAAACCAGAAAACATTCATTTATTAAGCCAGGTTATAAGAGACTATAAACAGTGAGTCCTAGAGCTGTTTCATTGTGTGGGTTGGCTCCACAGATTCCTTGTTCTTGTTTGTAGTTAAGCAGGTGGTGGTACATTGTAATTCACTTGAGGAAAGCACAGTGTTTTTTCTACTACTAGCAGGTGCCTGGAGAAGCTTGTCTGAGGGGGCACACGTTTCCATCAAAGCAGTGTTACTGACTCTTGTCCACTTTTTAGGCCTCTTTGACAGCCCCCCAGGGTCAGATGATGCAAAGCTCATTGATATATTTTATCCCGGAGATCAACAGTCTGTGACATTTGGAACCAAGTCTAGAGTGGGAATGGGTGGCATGGAAGCCAAGGTAAGAACTAGGTACCTTAACTGTCATAACAGTTGTAAAGCCCAAACAGTATTTTATTCTTTTTAGTTTTATAATTGTCTGGGGACTAGTAGTTCAGATACTATACATATACAGTTAAATATGCACATATCTAAATACAGGTTTAATGAGTTTATGCACCTATATTTAATCATATCTGTATCTTATTAGTATTATATGAACAGTGTATTCCTATTATAAATGCAAGGGAAGGGCCCTTCTATATAAGCTCAAATATTTCTTGAAACTTTTCAGAAATTCTTTTTCTTCTATTAATTGTTCTAAGAAGCTATGCCCTTAAGACACAGAATCATTTGTAGCAATTACAGAGATGAGAACAAGAGTCTCATTTGCAAAAGCTAAACGTACTTAGGATCAGACTGTCAAACCCCCAGCTGTTTATTAAGCTATGGCTAAGTTAAGGCATAACAAGTCAAAGCACAGAAATTATGAGTCCTGTACCACAGTGTCACAGAGAGAACAAAGGACAGGTTAGTTCATCTTCAGGCAACATATTACAGGGCTGGGCTAAGGAGAGAGCATGGGATGCATGTGTTTTCAGAGCTTCTGGATTGTTAGAAACATTTCTGTGTTTATTTGCTCAATATCAAATTGTATTTTGTATCTTTTTGCAAATCCAGTATGTGGCTGGCTAGGTCTGAATCTCTTCTTTGGATCTGACCTGTCCCATTAGGTGAAAGCAGCCCTCTGGGCTTTGCAAGGTGGCACTTCTGTAGTTATTGCCAATGGAACCCACCCAAAGGTGTCTGGACACGTCATCACAGACATTGTGGAGGGAAAGAAAGTTGGCACCTTCTTTTCAGAAGTAAAGCCTGCTGGTAAGTAGTTGTTCATAAAGTTCCAAGGCCTGTGATGATATCTAGTGACACCTGAGCCTAGATGGGCCTGAAGACTGAGCACTCACCCTGGGAATATAGATCACAAAATTATTATAATGTTATCATGTCTGGTATTTTAAATACTATTTGCAAAATTGGATTTTGTTTTGCTTTTGTAACATTCTATCCATTTTTGCTAGTTAGGCCTCTTGTTCACTCCAAAATCACTAGATTAAAGAACATAATGTTCCATTTTTTTTCAGGAAACTTTTCCTAGGCCTTTGCTGGATGCCAGGTACTAATAAGCACTAGAGATACAAAAATGCCTAAAATACAGTATGTGCACTCACATGTTCACAAAGCACAGAATTGCTTTAAAATCTGCACTCACAAATGCAAGCACATTAGGACATACAAGCCAAAGCAGAATTGAACTCTAGAAGACATAAAGTATGTTGTTGACTATACCAGAAATACAAGTAAATTTATACCTGAGTTACTCTGCTGTGTTCTTTTGCCATTTTATTGGCCAGAGTGATTCCTGTATGTGAACCTAGCACTCTAACACACCAGGCATTCCTTCTGCATGTGTTGAGCTTTTTCTTGTGTTGGGAAGATGAGAGCTTAAGCTGACCATGGTCTCATGCTTGTATATGTTCTTGCAGGCCCTACTGTTGAGCAGCAAGGAGAAATGGCCCGGTCTGGAGGAAGGATGTTGGCCACATTAGAACCTGAGCAAGTAAGGAACTTAGCCAAAGGTTTTGTTAGTTTCCAGAGCAAGCCATGCTATATGGTTCAATATGGCAGTCAAGCCTGCTGACCCCCTTTATTCATGGTGCCCACAGAGTTACCTACTTGATACAGATTTGCTCTGCCCTTTTTCTTTTTCTTAATTTTATTTTCCCTTTTGTTTTTTGTAGACTGAGGTCTAAGGTAGGTTTTACAACTATGGTGTTTTGATCAAGGGCACCATGAAAGTGATGAGATCAGGAAGGCTTCCTAATCCTCCCACATTGTGGGCATGAAAATATAGGAGAATTAGTTCTCCCAATTCCTTCCAGTTGTCTCACCTATGAGATAGAAGCTTGAGAGTCTGTTCTATAGTTGGTGTCCTGCCCTGTCTACAACAAATTAATGAATTAGGCTCAGCTGCAGATCCAGAGAGGTTGGATATGGTGGAGAGGTCAGGTGAAACCAGCCAGTTCCCCAGAATTGTGTGATTCAGGATGGATCTGAGAGTGATGTATATAGGTTTCTTCTGAGAAATACTTTGACCAGAGAAGAAAAGAATTTTAAATGGCTACAAATAAGGAAAGAAAAACAAAGTCAGAGCCTGGCTCTGAAGTCACTTCCTTCTACTCTTTCAGTAGCATTCTTGCTGTTTTGCTATATTTCCCAACCTCGGGAGTAATACGGATTGGAGTCTCTTCAGACATCTATCTAGGACTGGAGTTTTTCCCTCTAACTGACTTCATCAAATAATTGACAGCAAAGGAAAGCTAGATGTAAAAAATGCACCTGGGAAGTAATTGTCCATCTAATGATAGTAAATATGTAATGATGTGCATCATATTAATTAAAGTGCTGACCTGTGTCATGGATAAATTGTATAATTCATTTTGCCCCACTGCTGGACCATAGTTTCCTATTTACATAATCAAGAATGGTAAAAAGGGGAGGAATGGAAAGAAGAAGTAGGGGGAGACTGGTGAGCAAGGGGAGCAGTGGTGGAAAATGAATGATAGGAAGCAAGGAGATTCACATTCAATGAATGTTAGCAGCAAGGCTTGAGAAGAGTAGATTTCAGAGCAGGTGTTCATTCTTGAATCGTCTGGTATGGTCTGGTTTGTTTTGTTTTGTTTTGTTTTTAATGGTTTGCCTTTCTTCTAGAGAGCAGAAATTATCCATCATCTGGCAGATCTGTTGACGGACCAGCGGGATGAGATCCTGTTAGCCAATAAAAAAGACTTGGAGGAGGCACAGGGTAAAGAGTCATTTGTGGAGGGTTTCGGTTTTACTTATTTTTGTTCTTTGTTTGACCAGTAATTCTTAGATCTGCCTAGAGGCAAGGTTATAATAGGAGAAATTATACCTCGTGCATTATTTTTATCAAAGGTAGGTGGCTAATACTAGATAAGCTTTTTCAAACTTCTCACAGTGCTCCTGCCTCTTCCCTAGATATTTTAGTACAACCCTCAAAGGACCATTCCCCACAGGTCAGGTCAGCTGTGGCTGTCATGGCAGTTTCAGGTTCAAAAAAGAAGACTGAAAGCTTGCTGCTTTAAACATTCAGCAGCTAACAGTTATTGGGGCCTTTTTGTATTACCAGACACAGTGCTAAGGGTTTTACTGGTAAGATGGTAATAAACAGTAGCTCCCTCATAATATGATATTGTGAAGTTTTTATCCCCATTTTACAAAGGGGGGAACTGAATCTCAGAGAAGCTGTCACTCATCCAAAGCCGTGTAGTCAGAGATGGACATGGGATTCTAGCACGGGTGGACAGTATGCCTAGAGAAGGTGTAGAGATAGTTTATACAGCCTGTGGTGGAAGATGGATTATCTTTTAGTTCATTAACCAGTGTGAAGTCTTCCCACAGAAAGTACCAGGTGCTGTCCAGAAATGCCCTTTAGGTGCTTAGAATAGAAGGAGCAAAAAGACCCAACTTACATCATAGACAACTTAGAAAGTCCGTGAGTCCCTGATGCTTTCTCTCCATTTTCTTCTTTCTTTGTCTTTTCCATGTTAAGATAACGGGGCTGGTTTTTAAAAGGTGTTACAGTCCCTTTCCTCTTGAATAAGTATGCCTTACTTAAACATCTGGGTTCATGATGATCCCTCCAAAGAAACAAGCTGATGAGCATTACCTCTACGTTTTTTGTTTTGAATCATTGTTTCAGAAAATCCTCTGAAATTTACACCTAGTCTTTTGTATCTTTGTATTATTGGAAAGTCAAACTTGATTTTCAAAAATGGAAGTTTTTGCTAATACCCCAGATCTTTTCAGTTAAAGTAAAAGAATTAAGACTCACAGAGGTTAAATCTGTTGCTCAGGTCACATTGCTGTTGTTGGTAGACTCTGATTTCTCATCCTCGGAATGTCTCTCTTGAAGTACACAGGACACACAGTGGGTTAAAATTAATGTTTGAAGATTTAGAAATGCTTATTACCCTTGCTTTATTACTATACATATACACCTGTATTTAGTTACCATAGTGTACTCCATAAAGATGCACAAATATTATGTCTCAATTTAAAAAGAAATTCAGCCAGATGCAGTGTCACGTGCCTGTAATCCCAGCCACTTAAGAGGCTGAGGAAAAAGAACTCCAGTTTGAGGCCAGCCTGAGCAACACAGCAAGACCCTATCCCAATAATAAATAAAACACAGAAAGAATGAAATCCCTGGTTATACATGAGCAAGGTAATCCCCTTTGCTCGGTAATCCTAATTCAGGGAATTGATTCTAAGAAAATATTTCAAGAAGAGAAAATAGCTCTGTTGGTAAAGACTCTTAGAGAAAGATTTTTTTTTTTTTTTGGTAGGGCTGGGATTTGAACTCAGCTTTACACTTCAAAGCAGGCGGTCTACCACTTGAGTCACATCTGTAGTCCATTTTGCTCTGGTTATTTTGGAGATGGGGTCTCACAAGCTGTTTGCCCAGACTGGCCTCAAACTGTGATCCTCAGGATCAGCCTCCCAAGTAGCTAGGATTATAGGTGTGAGCCCCTGTTGTCTGACTTAAAATTAAAGAAAATTCTGCATATGATCCTACTATAATTCTATTTAACTTTTATTTCAGAAGAAAATACCTCGCTTGCAGAATGACTCAAGTGGAAAGAGTGCCTGCCTAGCAAGTGTGAGGCCCTGAGTTCAAGCCTCAGTGCTGCCAAAAAAAAAAAAAATCTCTATTGCTACTTACTATAAAACTAATTCACTCATTATAAAACTTAAAATAATACAGAAAGATAAAGTAGACAGAGGTCATCACTGTTTTATGATGCCCTCCAGACATCTCCCTATGCACATGTACATCTGCAGTGTTTGATAAGTAGGATCATATCATATGTGCTAGTCCATAGTTGGCCTTTTCCACAGACTGTATCCTAAATAGCTTTTCATGTCAATAGGCATAGATATGCTTGATAAGAACTGCATTGGAGCCCCTTGTCTGAATCTTTAGGGTAGAATCCAGTTCCTCACTATTTTAAAATACTGTGGTATGTACCCCTGTCAGGTGCAGGCTTACTCATGCAAATGATAAACTTCTGGAAGTAAGATTAGAGGCACAGAGCATATAGATGAACACACGTTTTCATGATGGTATATGTTATGCTGCCGAATGCCACCCAGGAAAAGCTGTGTAAATGGCAGGCATGTCGTCTCACTGAGACTCCTGTGTTCCATGTCTCTTCCTAACGCAGTGTCACATGCTCAGTAGGACATCAAGAAGTGTAAGCTGATGATTGTAGCCTGCCCAGGTCTGCCTCTTTATCACGTATTGTCACCACTTTTCAGGGAGACTTGCAACCCCCCTGCTGAAGCGTCTGAGTCTCTCCACATCTAAGCTAAACAGCTTGGCCATTGGGCTGCGTCAGATCGCAGCTTCCTCCCAGGACAGTGTGGGACGTGTTTTGCGCCGAACACGAATTGCCAAAAACCTGGAATTAGAGCAAGTGACTGTCCCAATTGGTGTTCTACTGGTGATCTTTGAATCTCGCCCTGACTGTCTACCCCAGGTGTGTGACTAACGCCCTTCCTCTGAGGGTAGGGGTGGGTTAGAGGAAGTATATGTTCTTAGTACTGGAGGTAAGTCTCCCAAAGATAATCGTGTGTGTGTGTGTGTGAAAGAGAGAAAAAGAAGAGTTTTTCTTTTTCTACCCAAAAAAGATAACTTTTAATATGTTATTGTCAGGTTGTTTTTAAGGTAATTTATGTTTATAATTCTTCCAGTAATCCTAAGGCAGATATTATATATCTATTTTACAGTTGAAGAAGAAAAGCCCTATAAAAGTTAATATTCCTAGGCCTAGGTATGGTGGTGCACACTTGTGATCCCAGCTACTTGGGAGGCAGAGATTGAGAGGGTCACAGTTGGAGTCCAGTCTTGGTAAAATGTTAGTGAGACCCCCATCTTAACCAACAAACTAGGTGTGGTCTTATACATGTAATTCCAGCTATGTGTGGGGATGGCCCAGGCAAAAATGTGAGACCCTATCTGAAAAATAACTAAAACATGACTCAAGTGGTAGAGTGCCTGCCTCACAAGTACAAGGTCCTGAGTTCAAACACCACTACTGCCGAAAAAAAAAATTAATATTCCTGTTACTCTTGTGTGGGTAGTGCTGTTACTAGAGCCCATATCAACCATCACTCCACAGTGCAGGAACAGATTTCCCAGTATCTTGGCTTATGCTGCACTTTGTTCTTTGACCACAAGTCCCTGCTGTCTGCTGCAGTCATTCATCTAATGACTGGCCTTGCTGTGTGAAAAAGACCCTTCATTGTCAGTGTCACAGATGGTTTCCTATAGGCACATTGATTAAAAAAAGACCTTTCATTAGTTACTGGAAGCTAGAGTGCAGCCCTCTTTAAGGAATATTTAGAAAGCTTGTGCTAAAGGTCTGGCCCAGCACCATACTGCGAAACACAAGGTGACATTAGACACTGACCTCATTTCCTTGCCTTAAGCTCTCTCTGAAACCTGGGACTATTTCCCACCTGGATTGTCAGTAGGATGATATAGCTCTTTTTACACTCTCTGTATAAGGCACAGGGGACCATGGGAGTTCAGAATGCCATAGAGGGAACTCTCTGCCATAACTTCAAACCACATTGTTGACCAAGGGTCTCCTCTCCAGTTCCTGGCTGACAGTGGCATACCATATATGCCTGTTTTGCAGAAATGCCCAGTGGTGACTAAAACCCACCAGTGCTAGGAGATACAGGTCCTAAGTTTCTGTGAGTTCTGTCCATGCAAAGTCCTTGCACCTCTCACCCACACCAGCTGATTGCTCTGTAGCTGAAGCTTCTCGCCCGTGATCTTAGCCCTGGGTGGTGACACAGAATCCACAAACCTAAAGATCAGATGCAGAATGTGATATGTCTGTGCATTTATCCAGAGAAAGTTCATGTAACTTTTTATCAGGGGACCATGAGCAACAAAAGCAAACAGAGAAGGATTAAGAACCCCTAATCTGGAGATTAACATAGTGTGACGAGCGTTTTTTAGTAAAACGACTTCCCCCGCCTTACCAAAGCAAGATGATTTTCATCCATCCCAGGAACATTTAGAAAAGTAAGCTTCAGGCGTAGTATGACCAGGTTGATGTCACTAACTCTGGTCTAACAGGGTCACTAGCCCTCCCCCTGGGTGGCAGACCTTTTCCCTCCCCAAACAGCATATGCTCCCTCCCCAGCAGTCTCCCAGCATCTGTGGCCTCTGCCTACTAGGGGCTAGCAGGAGCTCCAGTCTTCTCCAGGTTTTTAGTATCAGGCATTTAGAGCCCTTGGAACAATTCCAAGCCAGAAGGGCTGGGGTATAGCTCAGTAGTAGAGCACTTGCCTAGTGTGTGCAAGGCTTTGGGTTTGATCCCCAGCACCACAAACAATATATAACAAAACAAAAGTGAAAGCCAGGTGTGGTGGCTCATGCCTGTAAGCCTAGCTCCTTCGGAGCCTGAGATTAAGAGGATTATGGTTTGGGGCCAGCCTGGGCAAATAGTTTGCGAGACCTCGTCAACAAATTACCAGAGCAAAATGGACTGGAGACATGGCTCAAGTGATAGAGTGCCTGCTTTATAAGCTTACAGAGCCCTGAGTTCAAACCCCAGTCCCACCCAAAAAGAAAAAAAACAACTCAAGGATCAGAGTAGAGTGTGAGTAGCAGTATTGCCAGTCAGGTGGAGCAATGGCTCCCTTACCAAGGTAGCTGAGCACCGTGTTCTCCATGGTGACCAGACTGGGGAGGGGGCCACTAAACTCAGGTTGCATTGCTAATGGTGCTGAGGAAGCGGCATAGTTTAGTTCCTAAGAGGCAAGCCCTCGGTATGGCTCCCAGTCCTGCCATTTACAAGCCGTGTAATCTTGGGGCATCACTAAACTCTGGGCTTCAGTGTAGAGTGGGATAAACAGGTATTTAATTCACTCAGATACTGTGAATGTGAGTCAGCATAATTATTAATGTGCTCTTGTTTTTTTCTTTTTGATCTTTTGCTGTCCTCTTTGATGTGCAGGTGGCAGCCTTGGCTATTGCAAGTGGTAATGGCTTGTTACTCAAAGGAGGGAAGGAGGCTGCACACAGCAACCGAATTCTTCACCTCCTGACTCAGGAAGCCCTCTCCATCCATGGAGTCAAGGAGGCCGTCCAGCTGGTAGGTCCCAAGGCATGAGCCAAGTCAGGCCTAAGTGGTACCAGGTCAGGTCTTTGGAAGTATGAAGTAAAGTTTAGGCCATGTAAGGCCGAGACACGTCTATAAGCTGACTTGATTGGAGCAGCGGAAGGTCCTATGAGCCTGTGGACATTAGGCCTTTTGGCCTTCAGTGGCTTAGGAAGGCTGTGTCCTAGCATTCTTGATTTATGAGAAATGTCATTTCACCTTTATTCTTTACAGAGTGGTAGACCCTGAGTGTGATGTGTGTGGGTTCTTCTCATTGGCAGTTGATTTAGGGCATTCAATGAGATGCACTTAAAGTTTGTCACAAACCATCATGCAGTGTCTTAGGAGTGAGATCATGCAGTTGTCACTATTATTACTGTGCTTACAGTTTAAACTGACCATTGTTTCACTCTCCTCACTGTCAAATGAAGTTTGATGGTAACAGCTACAGTTTGTTGAGCACCTAATGTGTGTGAGACACTTCATTTCATCTTTAGAATAACCCTATGAGGAAAACACCATTAATTATGAGGCATATTTTCTACATTGGAAAAAAGTCGGCTCAGGTAAAAGGATTCACCCAAAGGCAGTCTCTGGTGGAGTAGAGATTTGGACTTAGGCCCATCAAGGCCCCACGCCCATCAAGGCCCCTTTGCCCCACATCATGGGTTCTTGTGACTGCTGGGTGGAAAGAGCAGAGTCCACACTCTAGCCTACATCTTGAGCCACTCCACCAGCCTTTTCGTGTGTGTGTGTGTGTGTGTGTGTGTGTTTTTAGGGTTTTTTCAAGATAGGGTCTTAACGAACTATTTGCCTGGACTGGCTTTGAACTGCAATCCTCCTGATCTCTGCCTCCTGGGTACCTAGGATTATAGGTGTGAGCCAGTGGTGGCCAGCACATCCTAGTTTAGACAAGCTTTCTCTCTCCTCCCTTCCTGTGTTCATTTTTCTACTGATGTGTAACATACACAGATCTTGTGTGAACAACTCTCTGACTTTGTCCATATATGCACCACCACAAGCCATGTCAAGATAGCCCATTTCAACATCCCAGAAAGCTCCCTTCTGCCCTTCCTAATTACTGTGCCCCACTACTACCATAATGTAACCACATTGTTGACTACTGTCACATTGTTACTTTTGCCTGTTCTTAAGCTTCATATAAATGGAGTCATCCAGAATGTACTTTTATATTATATGTCTTTTGTTCATTCTTATCTCCATGATTTGCATCCACATTGTTGTATCTAGCAGTGGTTTTCCTTTTTCATCACAATGTAGTATTCTATTCACATGCATATACTGGAAGTATATGTATCAGTAGTATCACTAGAAGTACATGCTTTCTTCTTCTGATGAATATTGGATTGCTTCCAGTTTTGAGCTTTGTAGAGTAAACTTGTCATGAATTTTCTGGCACATATACTTTTATATTTCTGTTGTAAAAGTAGTGACCAGATGGAGGACAATGAAAAATCAAGAAAAGAAAATGCCCATAACCCCAGCATCCTACCATAAGCACTTAATATTCAGTTCAGTCAGTGTCCCAGGTTAGAGGTTATCAGCAGAAGTCTTGGAAAGGTGCAACTCCCAGCAAGTCCCAGCATTTCCTTAAGGTAGAGAACCCACAGAGCAGCACTTCCTTTAGTGATCCTCAGAGCTGGCCTGGTCTCTGCTGCCTCAACTTCCACAGACAGCATTTGGTACCTCCTCTGGCATTTAGAAAAGTTACCTTCACTGTGTTACGGCTAATTGTGTCCTAGTCCTGCCTTCCTTGCTAGGCTCTGAGCACTGTGAGGGCAGGGACCATGTCTGCACATTCTGTAAAACAGCATAGCACTGAATGTATAGTTTGATCAGCATTTGCTGGATGATATTTCAGTTACATGATCAGGAACTTAACCTTGTTTTCAGAATAAGTTTTCAGTGTCTCATGTAGTTCTCAGGGTCTGCAGACATTGATCTGTAAAAGACAAGCTGCTACTTCTGTTATTGTGTGTGTGTGTGTGTGTGTGTGTGTGTGTGTGTGTGCAGAACATGTCATCTTTTTTATTTTTATTTTTTGGAGTTTTGAGTTAAAGTCATGCTATGTTGCCCAAACTGCCTGGAACTCACAATCTTTCTGCCTCAGCCTCTTGAGTGCCGGGGTTACAGGTGTGTGTATCACCAAACCCAGCACAGAAGATATCATCTTTATCTTTTTATTCTCTCTCTCTTTAGGTGAATACCAGAGAAGAAGTTGAAGATCTTTGCCGCCTAGACCAAATGATAGATCTGATCATTCCACGTGGCTCTTCACAGCTGGTCAGAGACATCCAGAAAGCTGCTAAGGGAATCCCAGTAATGGGGCACAGTGAAGGGATCTGCCACATGTTTGTGGATTCAGAGGCCAGTGTTGACAAGGTCACCAGACTTGGTGAGCTGAACAGGGTCTCCTGTGTGGTGAGGGTCAGATAGTTGTTTAATCCTGTGTCTGAGGATCATGTGCCTAGAAATAATTCTTTGGTCTTCTTCTTTCAGTCAGAGACTCTAAATGTGAATATCCAGCCGCCTGTAATGCTTTGGAGACTTTGTTAATCCACCGGGATCTTCTGAGAACACCGTTGTTTGACCAGATCATTGATATGCTGAGAGTGGAGCAGGTAAGACAGACCCGCAGGACCAGGACATTTCCTCCTGTCCATGGAGTTAGACCAGGAGCAGGTGCCAGACAGTTGAAGGCAATTTAGGAAAGAATATTTTTAAGCCTATACTATGAATGAAGTTACTGTGCTAAGCACAAAAGTGGGTAAGACATAGCCTTTGCCCTTGGGCATTCCAGCAGGTGAATCAAACTGATGTACAGATAGCTGCATGTCAAAGTGCAGTGTGCACCATGCCACAAGGGTTTGCAGGCAAGACAGACCACAGGGCAGCATGCTGAGTAGACTCTTTCTGGCAATCTTTTATTCAGCCAGCAAAGTTTGTTTCCAAATAGGCATACCTTTTTGAATTTGTCTTAAAGTGTTTCAAACCAAAAATTTTATGTATTCCCTCCCTAAATGTCCTCTATTACCAATATTAATGTACTATAGTGATATTTGGGGTCAGAAATTTGCAAAATGTCCTCTCTGGATTGTATTCATATCATGTCATTAAGGTTTAACAAAACAAATCTAGTAAGTCTTAAATATAAATTTATCCTCTGTTCTAGATGTATATTTGCAAGGTAATAGAAGCTCTCGAGGAAAAATGGACATTCTGTTAAACTTCCTGCATAGATGTATTTCCAGCTTGGACAGCCTCTGTCATGGTGCTCTTTCATAATTACATAAGCTAGCACAGCAGTAGGGAAGGTGCTTCCTGGCATTGGTTGCTTTAACCCTGATGTGTGTCTTCTCTTTTCCATCCTTTTTCTGGGAGGACTCCAGTCTGCTTATAAATGTGGCATGACCCCAGTAAGAATATGAAAGAATTGTTTTGAAAATGAAAATGCACCCCACAGAGTAAAGGAGAGTTAGATCACATGATCATTCACGTTTGGGTCCTTAACTTACATTAGTGGCCCATTTGATTGGGTACCTGTGGGCACCAAGCACCAAAGTGAACTGGCCTGGATAGGAGGAAAGCTTTTCCTTGAAATGCCTCAAACCAAAATGAGTCAACATATACCTCAGGCAGCACCTTTGTATGCAGGAAGTAAACCTAATCTGCAGGGTGTCTTGCTCAGGAATGGGATTCCAGTCTCTGGGGAACATGTTTGAACCCAGTCCTGGGTCAAGTGGGGTCCCAGGTAGGAAATCACCATGGCCTCAAGAGCCATGAGGACAAGAATACCACTTGTTATTGGTGGTTTTTATTTGTTTGTTTTGGGGTTGTTGGGGTGTTTGTTTTGTTTGGTTTGGTTTTTGGCAGTACTGGGGTTTGAGTTCAGGGTCTCATACTTCCTAGGCAGGCATTCTATCACTGCAGCTATTCCCCGAGCCAGGCACCAGTTATAACTGGAGCCACAGCAAAAGCTTGACCCTAAAGAATCAAGGCATACACCCTGTTCTGAATGGTCTCAGAGAAAAAGACCTAAGTGGGACCAGACCTGACTGGGGCCTTCAGTGACCAGCCAAGGATCCTTACACCACTCCAGCAGGAGTGAGGCCAATGCAAGGATCTGGAGCTGGGGCTGACCCAGTTGGAAATCTGACAGGAAACCACTGTTTGAGGGACTAGAATATCAAGCTCTGCTTACCTCAAAAGCAAACCTAGGGCTTCTCCAGGTTTGGCTCTGAGTACAGGGATTAGAAATGCATGTGTGGCACCTCCTTTGTTCCATATGAATCCAGTGCCTAGCTCCCACATTGTAGGGAATGGAAGTTTTATAACTGAGTGCTTCTTTTAGTAAAATGCTGCAAGTCAAGGGCTTATGTCCATAGGCCATTAAATGCCTGGCACACTCATAACATTCAAAGGCTTCCTTCTTGAATCCCTGCTCCAGCTTGCTTGAGGACCCATTGCTGGCAAGTGGCCAGCAAGGCTTTCCCAAAGCAGAGAATGCTGGCAGGTGGGAGGCAGGACCAGTCCTTCAAGTCTCACACGCTACTCTGTACTGTGGCTTTCCTGGATCTGCTGTGTCACACAGGCTCATCATCACTCAGGCCCTGCTGTTTGACCCCCATTGCTTTCTTATTTCTGTTGTGTTTATGTTGTGGTCCCTGGACTTTCTCTGTTCCAGGTGAAAATTCATGCAGGCCCCAAATTTGCCTCCTATCTGACCTTCAGTCCCTCAGAAGTGAAGTCACTTCGAACTGAGTATGGGGACCTGGAATTGTGCATTGAAGTGGTAGACAGTGTCCAGGAAGCCATCGACCACATCCACAAGTATGGCAGCTCCCACACAGATGTCATCGTCACAGAGAATGGTCAGTGTGCAGGTGCTTGGGGTACATGGTATCAGCTACCCACTTTTGATCTACAGGTGGTTCTGCTGCTTTCAGCCCTGTGGGGCCTGCAGGAAAACACAACCAAACAGACCAAATAGAATCCTTTAAAGTGGTATTTGGTGTTTTACTGAGTGGTTTCACAATATTACCTCCTTATTTTGTCACAGCAGCCCATCACGGAGGCAGGGTGGAGATGATTAGCACCATTGTAAAGATGGCATACCCTGCATTCTCATTTAATCATGCAGCTGTCCCCTGTCAGGTAGTTTAAAAAAATTAATTTTATAGCTCAGGAAACCAAGGCCTAGGGCAGAACTAACTACATATTAATTCATGCAACCCACAAATAACCTACAGAAGGACACTTTGAGGTGTCAGGCTGTAGAGGTTTTATGGTGAAAGAAGCCGTATGGCCCCCAAAGGAATCCACAGCCAGCTTACTGGAGTTCCTAATCGCACCACTGGTGTGCTAACACTGAACACTTACCTTGAGTGAGTCACTGAGGCGAGCACACCCAGGTGCCACCTCGCTTCATTTTCCAGACACCCCCGAGTAAGGTAATGTCCTTCCCTCTTCACTCAGGCACGAAGATGTTCAGACACTGTTCAAGGGCACACAGCTAGTAGATGTGGACTTGGAGTTCACACCTAAGGCAGTCTAACTCTGAAGTCTGTAAAGAGGGAGTATGACCAGGCCATTATAGCCCTGGGGTACAGCTGACTGCCCAGCAATCTGGATTCGAGCTGTCTTTGCACACAACTGTGACTGATGATGCTGATTTTGCCATCTTTCTCTTCAGAGCTTTCACAAACCTGCATGTTTAACATGTGACAACACAGGAGGCTCCTAGCCTGCCTGGATCCTGCTCAAAAAGTGACTGAAAGTAGGGATGTTCTCCAAGGGTCATCCTTACTCTGTTTCTCTTTATCCTGCAGAGAAAACAGCGGAGTTCTTCCTTCAGCATGTAGACAGTGCCTGTGTGTTCTGGAATGCCAGCACTCGTTTCTCTGATGGCTACCGCTTTGGACTAGGTAAAAAAAGACTGGTCAGACAGGAGAGGAGTCTCTTGTGACTCACTTGTAGAGCTAGAATCATGACAAGGTGGAGATACCTCCCTTTTACTGCTACATGTGTGACCAAGAGGATAGAGACAGACTTGCGGCCAAGTAGAGAGAAAGAATAATGCTAGTTACCCACCTGAGTTGGTGGACATTTCACATGTTAAGAAGGTAGGTACTCATACTTCCTTTTTCATAGATGAGAAAACAAGAGTCAGAGAAGTGAAGTAACTTGCCCAAAGTCACAAGGCTGGTGTTCAGATCCTAATGTGTGCAAGTCCAAAGCTCAATTGCTGCCACTGCAGTACAGGCAGACCCATCCTGTCTTTCTGCACAGGCCGTGATGGGTGCACAGGCTACAGTCCCTTGACAACACTGCTATTGCAGACTAACTGCTTCAGAGTGACACAGAGGTTGGAACAACAAAATAGGGCAAGAGAAGGTCTTACTACCTGTGTTGAACCTAAGTACCAGCATCAAAAACCAACAGGTAGGGGCTCAATCTAGAGTATGTGCTTAGCATGCACAGGAACATGGGTTCAATCTCCAGCACTGACACAAGCAAAAACAGGTAAGCTCAGGGTGCAAGGTTAGCTTCTGCAGCAGACTTTGAAATAAAGATCTTTAGAAAGATGCCCTGCCCCTCCATTATTTAGAAAATATCCAATCCTCTGTAGTATATGGGCTATTTGGACAGTGTATTTGTCAGAGTACCAATATGTGAAACTCTAGTAAGACATTTATAGCATGTTTTGTCATCATTTGAGAACTATTTCGACCACTTAAAACATTTTAAATCCTCTGGAACCTTTTGAATAGATGATCTGCCTAGAGAAATCATTCTCACTGAATTGTTAAAGGTTATTAAAGGGAAATTGCCTCAGTTATTCTTAGTCATTAGGCTTTATTTTTAGTTTCCATTTTTATCATGTTGGGTTTTGTCATAATTATCACAGCATTTGCACTAATCTTTATACCCTATGTTCCTGAAGGCAAAAAAAAAAAAGAAAAAAAAAAACCTGCATACTCTTGAGGGCTGAGTTCCCCAGCATTCAAGTGAACATCCAGGATGAGAGAAAAACTAAAGTGACAGATATTTACTGCATGTCCAGCACCGTACCAGGCTCATGGCCTGCATTATCTCACTGAGTTCCGTAGAAAGGATCTGTTGTTTTCCTTACTTTCCAAATGGAAACGCTGAAGCCTGAGGGAGTAAGTTAGGTAACTTGCCCAAAGTCCTGAGGTCTCTGTGTCAGAATCAGTCCTGGTGATCCACTTTCTTTGTCAGCCACTACCCAGGAGCATCCCTCAGGTCTGTACTTGTTCTCCCTGCCTGTTGCACCTCTCATCTGCTCTTCCCTGACAGCTCCTTCTCATGGTTCAGTTTCTAGCCAAAAGGCACCTCCTTAGGGAGCTTTCCTGGCCACCCTACATGTCATGTGCCCAGATCCACCCCACTGTCTCTGTCACAACATCCTTTCCTGCACTCAAGCATCACAGGACACTATTTGCTGAGCTGTCCTTTGGCTGTTTTGCCTGCTAGAATGTTAGCTCCATGATAACAGTATCTCCATGATAACAGTAACCTTGTATCTGTTCTTCGTTACTTTTTCCTCGGGGCCTGGTACATAGTACATACTCAGTAAAGTTAAAATGAATGAGAGAACCTACCTCATTAAATACAGTGCTGAACACCAAAACAGACTCAGGAAAACTCTGGTGTTGCCTGGGTCTAAGCTGGAAACAAAAGAGAAAGGAAATGAGCACTAACTTGTCATATATTCAATAACTGACAAGTGCCAACGTATCTGGGAGATCCTAAGAACACATCCATTATTTTTTAGAAAAGAGTATTTGAGGGAAATCCAGGTGTAGTGATGCACACATATAATCCCAGAAACTCGGAAAGACTGAGGTAGGAGAGTTCATGGCCAGCCTGGGCTACTAGTGACACCTTAAAAGGAAAATTTTGGGGGAAATGAAACCTCCATTCTAAACACTGCTATATATCTCAGCACATACTCCAAGCCCGGCATTGTGGCATACAGCTATAATCCCAGAAACTCAGGAAGACCTAGGTAGAAGGATTGAGAGTTCAAGGCCAGCCTGAACTACATAGTAAGACCCTGTCTCAAAAGGACAAAAAAAAAAAAAAACTTTGTGTGTGTGTGTGTGTGTGTATCAAAATATGATACACAATTCAGATGCTAAACTGATGGCAGAGACTACACTTGTAGGCTGTTAGAATGCACTGGGGATAAGGAACAGAAGAGAAGCCAACACATTGTGTTTCATTAGAAGAAGAGATACACCATGATTTGTAGTGACTGGGAAACAACCTTATCAGGACTGAAGGACTGGGGAGGATTGGTCAGGAATTGGAGGTGAGCAGAATGAAGTGATGTGACCTGGGTCTGGGGGGTGAATAGAATGCAAAGGCTGGGAAAAGCCACATCTCTCTCCATTGCTTTTCACAGGAGCTGAAGTGGGAATCAGCACATCACGAATCCATGCACGGGGACCAGTAGGACTCGAGGGACTGCTTACTACTAAGTGGCTGCTTCGAGGGCAAGACCATGTGGTCTCAGACTTCTCAGAGCATGGCAGCTTAAAGTATCTTCATGAGAACCTCCCCATTCCCCAGAGAAACACCAGTTGAGAGAAGCCAGGAAGGAAACCAGCCATATTTCAGGAAGCCAGATCTTGTCCCCAACCTCCTGGTGGGCTCTGCCTATTGGGAAGTGCACCTAGGTGCTTCTAGTTCAATTTGGCACTGTCAGTGCTCATACTCCATTCCAGTCTTTTAATAAGAAAATAACTGCTACAGAGGGGTACTTCACTTTGCCCAGTCCAGTTCCCTCTAATGTAAGAAACAAAGGTACACTTTCCTCTGGGAAAATTTTGGCTGCTTTTTATCACCTCAGTGAGGTCAAGTGTCTTGGCATGTGGTCTGTACTAGTGCTGTCATCCCTCATAAGTCTTTCCATGTCTCATTTCATTTCTTCCATACATGGTCATCTTCACAAAGGGAAATGTGGAATTCTAGAAAAGGAGCAGCTCTTCTCTTTAGCATTCTCATCAGAAACAGTGACAGAAATGGGCTGAGTTATTTCTGCTGGGAAGATTGGCCTTTGTGCAGTGGGTAAACAAGTGTCCCAGACACCTGCAGGCTGTCCTGGGCCAGGAGACACACAGGGCCCATGATGCAGTTGGAAACTGAGCTGCAGAGTATCTACAAGTTTTAGGGTGTTCCTGTCAACCAAGAGTAATATCTACAGCAATTATGCTTGGCATTTTTATATGAATTATTTTGTCATCCTATCCTTTTCTTCAAGAACAAAGGCTAGAGGATTATTTTAATACTTTGGATTCTTCCCCACCTTTTTGAGAAATAAAGTTCTTATGAAAAGCTTCTGTGCATGGTTTCTCCCTTATTTGTCCTTACCAACTCCTCTTCCCTCTCCCTCTCTGGTCACCCTCTTGCCCCTGCTCTTCCTGCATACTCTTTGCTCTAGAAGTTGGCTAGGGAGATGGTGTCAGTGGAAGCAGCTCAGGCACAATCCTGGGGTGGGGATTCAGGCTGTGAGAAAGGGAAGGAATACAGGAGAGTAAGCCCCAAAAGCTTGGAGGGTGGGAACATGGTGATGGTATGAAGTTGGTAGCTGTCTATAGCATGAGCATGTTCCCACTGTATCACATCCATAGCTCCTATTGATATCCTTAGTTCACCATGTTCCTTCCTGCCTGTTCTGTTGCCTCAGGATCATTTAACAGCTCTAATGCCTCACCTCCCTCTAGCTCCTGTCCTTAGGGTCTCTGGTGCTTGACAGTCTGCTATTGAAAGACTTGTTTTATGGGGACCTTCCTAAAGAAAGAAGCACTCACTCACATGCTGATGCTTATCCTCTAAGGATGTTTTATGAGCACAAGATTACAGTGTCGTGTGGAACATGTTCCCAGGCTGGCTCTAAATTCAACTTCTCATCCAGACCCTTACATGGGCTGGCAAGTCACCCAGCCTGCTCTGTGAAAGGAATTCTGGCATAACTTGCCTGAAAAGGCAATAAAGTCCTGCTGAAACTATATCGCAAATACCACAATGAGCCCCCAACAAGAGAACAGATGCCCTGGGAGTCTAAAATAGAAAACGGCCTAAGAAAGCTGCAGCCCTGGGGAAGACCACTTAGAAGGTAGGCTTGGAGATGTGCCCTGAGGTAGACGAGTCCTGGGAACAACAATTGAGGGCATCCAGGCAGCAGACTGGTGTAAGCAAAGGTCTGGAGGTAAGAATGAAACTAGCAAGTCTAGGGAGCAGTGACTGCCAGTTTGGGGCAGAAGATTATGGGTAAACAGGAAGGTATTGTGTCCTAGACAATGATGTTGATGTAATCTGTAGTGAAACCTCTGGTTCTTAGGCAGCTGATGGGAGTTGGAATTTGGCCTCGAAAAGGCAGGCAAAGTTCAGTTATTTAATAAGACCATTTCTCCTATTTCAGAAACCTCAGCCTTAGTCAATTCCTAAGACTGTGGGCCACCAGCAGTTTCCCTTTTTCCACCAAAAGTGGATCAGGAGGCAGCCATAGTCTTGAAAATAAATCAGTGTAATCTGTAAATAGTTCTGCAAGTAGCCACTCAAGCAGTCTTGTGCTTACTGGCTTATCTTAGGGAAGGAGCTTCTTATTCTGAAATACCTCCTGCATTCCTGCCCTACTACCTTCTTGCCTGGCCACCAGCTCTGATAACATGCCACTGAACTACCCACAGCAAAGGCAAAAAAAAAGGATCTGTAAGATAAATATAAAAATGCAGTTTTTTTTGTTTTGGTTTTTGCAGTACTGGGGTTTGAACCCTACACCTTGAGCCACTCTGCCAGCTCTTTTTTGTGATGGGTTTTTTCGAGATGAGGTCTCACGAACTATTTGCCTGGGACTGGCTTCAAACCGATCCTCCTGATCTCTGCCTCCTGAATAGCTAGGATTACAGGCATGATCCTCCAGCACCTGGCAAAAGTTCATATTCTTCAAGGCAGTTTTACATAGACTTAGGTTCTGTTCCTGCATCCAAAAGTATCTGGACAATACATAATATACACACATAATGAGGGAATTTTCAAAATGGACAGCAATGACTCAGTTAAGATAGTTTTGCCCTGTGTCCCTTATTTCGTGGAACCATTTCCGCCATTTCGCAGTAAGCCTCCTCGGTCAGTGTGGTTCAGAGAAAGGATACTGCTCTCTCTTCCTACACCACCATTTTTAGTGGTCACAAGACTGAGGCCTTATTAATCCCTGCTTATAGTGATTACTTCAGGGCTGGGCAGTGATGTAAACTTGGCCAAACAGCATGCTGATGGATTTTTTTATGCAATTAATAGGAAAAATAACTCTTCCTTTAGGGCCAAAAGGTAAAAAAATACCCTCCTATCACATAAAGAGAGCTGGTGTGTGACACTGAAGATGTAGCTTAGTGGTAGAGCACTTGCCTACCATGCAGAGAACTCTGAGTTTGTTGTTCAATGCTGAAAAACAATCCTGTGTAAGAAATATCTAACAGAGGAAAGGGAGCCAAGACATATGTAGTTTGCCAACTTGTGTCTACCTGTGCCTGAAATCCACTACTGGACTCAATTCAGTAATTTCTCTCTTTTGCTTAAGCTTGTTTGAGTTGGGTATTTATTTCATCTAGCTTACAAAACCCTCAGTAATATAACTAGGTTCAAGTCTCTGCTCTGCCACCTACAATGTTGAATAAGTTAATTTTGTAATCCTCAATTTCTTCATAGGAATATTGATATTCCCACTTCATAGGTGGTAATGCAAATACAAGGCATAGCACTGACACAAAGCAAGCACTCAATGAGATAGAGCTGGTCAGTTGTCATTTCCTCAGGTGCCAATCATGTTCTTGGCTCCATTCTTCATGAGAAACCAGAAGTTTCTTCTGTAGCTCTGGAAGCCCTGTTCAGAGCCAGATTTTCCAATCCTGGCTGTGTCTGCTCACTAAGAAGGTCAGTCTTGCCCTCCATGAGCAGTGAGGGACAGAGCTCAAAGTGTGATCAGACTTTTAAGTATGTGGGGTGTATAGGTGGCTGCTGCTAAGAAGAACATGATGCAGCAGAGAACATATTTTGAACCTGACAAAGAGATGGTGAGTCCAGGTGAACGTCACCTACTGCCTGAAAGGTGAAGTGTTCCTTGAGTGGCCAAAGGGGAGCAGGCCTGCTGTACTGGATGGGAGCAAAGTAAAACACTGTGTTTCTAGGTACTTACATGTGAGCACTACAGCATAGTATAAAGTAACTGCAGTGTATGTGCTCTTCTTGGTTGAAAATTCATGTTTAAATCTCTAAGCATAAGCAAAGGTATATATGTGGTCAGGTCATCTGAAAATCTTGACTACCTAAGATTTTAAATTCATTAATCAAATTTCCTTTTTTACTCAAGGACAAATGTTATTTATGTCATTACTCAAATACCTCTCAAGTGTACTTGGAACAAAATATTTCTGGGTAGTATGTTATATCCTATTATGTTCATGGGACTATCTGCAGTCCAGCACACCTGGGACTCCAGAATGATTTTCTAGTTCTGCAACTAACCTTGTGACCTTTGGTAACTGGATCATTTGTGCCTCAGTTTTTCCATCCATAAAATGAGAGTTTGGATCAGCTTTCTATTTAGATAGGTGCGGGTGCATTTTCAATTACTAAATTGCAAATGGGTTGAAGAAAGTGTTTTTCTTATGTACATCCACTGCTACACAAGTTTTCAGTGGACATTTGAAAACTAAGCCCAAAATCTGACACCCCTCCACCACCTTTGCTAGTCACTAGATTTGTGGGCCACAGACTACATCAAACTGTGGCCCAAGCATCATTGCAGCAACATGAGCAGAGATTTCAGCTAAAAATGCACCCCCATGCCCAGACCTGCTGCCAAAATTTCTGGGTGTGGGGCAAAGAATCAAAAGTTTTAGTGCTTGCTTTGGCAACGCATATATAAAAATTTTAACAATCCCATATGTGATTTATCCAACTGTGGCTACCACTGCAAGTCACATGAGAGTTTGATTTTTCTCTCATCATGAGAAGTCAGAAGTAGGTAGTCTAAGACTGGCTCCTCCTAACTTTCGGCCCTGACATTCTTCCTATGCAATTTCCATTGCACAGCAGAGACTGCTCCACCGCTGGCCTGTGCTCCATCCATGTTCCAGGTAGGAGGAAAGACAAGGTAGGAGTCAGGAGCAGGGGAGTTAGCCCAAAACATTCACGTTTGAAGAGCTTTCCCAGAACCCCCAACCATGACTTTATATTTACATCTCATCAAGAGGAACTGTTTAAGGGCTGGCAGAATGGCTCAAGTGGTAGAGTGCCAGTCTAGCAAAGTGTGAAGCCATGAGTTCAAACTCCAGTACTACCAAAAAAAGGGGGAAGGGGAACTGCTTCATGTGACTGCAAAGGATGCTGCAAAAATGTAGCTTTATAACTGGACACATTCTTGCCCCAACAAAAAACCAGGATCCTCCTTTAAGGAAGAGGAGAGGACAAGTATTGGGTAAGCCACTAACAGTGTTTACCACCGTTAACTCTGATGATTTTCCAAAGCGTAGACTTTCTTGGATGCCTTTTTTAGTTCCTTGAGCTCATATGGGTTTGGGGGGCTGAATTGCTCTAGGAAAGATGGAGAAAAGACTCCATCTTTCTGGGAATTTCCAGAAAGAGTGAGTTGCAGACTTGCCTAGCAGAGGGCACAAAGGATCAATGTAATGAGGCTGCAAAGAGTGAAACTGCCAAAGTGTGAAAAAAAAAAAGCTATCTGTTTTTAAAACAGTGGCTCCATTGAGGGTTCTTATGGGCTGAATGTTTATGTCCCCCTAAAATTTATGTGTTGTGTCCCCAAGTCCCAATATGATACACAGAGACAGGGCCTTTGGAAGGTAATTAGATTTGGATGAGGTCATAAGGGTGGAGCCTTCATGATGCAATTAGTGTCCTTTACCCACTCCTACATGAGGACAGAGCAAGAAGACAAGACTGCCTTATGAAAACCAGGAACTGAGATCTTGGAAGGAGCCAAATCAACTGGCACCTTGATCTTGGCCTTTCCAGCCTCCAGACTATGAGAAACAAATTTCTGTTTCTCTGAACTACACAGTCTGGCATTTTGCTAGGTTAGTCTGAGTAGACTGAGACAGGGGTAATTGTCTTGGAGGAACTTGCATTTTAGAAAAGGAGTCCTGTTATTCCAAACAATTAGTCAGATTGACATGGGGAAAAGAGCATGTATTCAGGAATCATATGACACACATTGCCATCTGTAAATTGAGTGACCTTAGTAGAATTACTTTTACTGAAATGAGTCTCATTTTCCTTA